TCTAGGGATCTCTGGGCGGGGAGGAGGATCCACGCCCAGATCGATTCCAGCGGGCTCAAGAGCGACATCTACCTCGCGAATTTGCTCGTCCAGATGTATGGCAAATGCGGGAGCCTCGGCGACGCGCGCAGGATCTTCGACGCCATCGCTCGCCCCAACGATTTTTCCTTCAACATCATCATCACTGCCTATGCCCAGAACGGGGCCATCGATCAGGCCGAGACGTTCTTCCACCGCTTTCCCAGATTGAACGCGGCATCCTGGAATGCCATGGTCACCGCGCATGCCCAGGCTGGGAATCTGGCGAAGGCAAAGGACTTCTTCGATCGAATGCCAGGGCGAGACATCATCTCCTGGAACGCATTGATGCAAGCTTCCGGAGAGGCAGCGACGATCTTTGATCGGATGCCCGGCCACAATCTTGTCTCCTGGAACACCATTCTCTCCGCAAATGCCCAAGACTGGCACTTGGAATCAGCCAAGGAGATCTTAGCGGCCATGCCGATGAAGAACGAAATCTCCTGGACGTCGATGATCCAGGCCTATGGCCAGCGCGGCCACTCCGAGGCGCAGAACCTCTTCATGATCATGCCCACCTGGAATATCGTCGCGTGTACCACGATGATCACCGCGTTCTCCCAGCGGGGAAATCTCCAGGAATGCGAGCGAATCTACAAATCCATGCCGGAGCACGACGCGATCGCTAGCAACGCGATGATCACCGCGTGCTCCACCAGCGGCGATCTCGATCAAGCAGAGAGAATCTTTCACAATATGGCGGAGAGGAACACAGCGTCGTGGAATGCCATGGTAGCAGCATATGCCCAAAACGGGCATTTGGAGTATGCGAAGCGTGACTTTGATACCGCCCAGTGCCGGGACGTGATTACCTGGAACACTATGATCGCGTCGTACGCCATTTATGGCCACATGGCGATGGCCAAGGCTCTGTACAACACCTCGCCGGCGTGGAACATCGTCTCGTTGAATGCCATGCTCTCGGCATTTGCCTTAGAAGGGCTCTTGGATGAAGCGGGAGATCTCTTCGCCGCGATGCGCGAGCGCGACGTCGTGTCGTGGAACGCGCTGCTCTTCGGCTATGGCCAGAATGGCAAGATGGAGGAAGCGCGCAAGGTGTTCTTGCGATCGCCCAGGCACGATCTCGTGTCCTGGAATGGCTGGCTCGCGGCGGCGGCGATCAATGGCCATGTCGGCCAGGCGCTGGCGGCGTTCCACGCTATGCCCGAGAGGAACGCCGTGTCCTGGAACTCGATGATCGCGAGCTGCGCGAATCTCGGTCGCGGGGCCGAGGCGCTCGAGATCTTCTTTCAGCAGCTCCTCGATGGGATCTCCCCCGACGAGATCACCTTCACGAGCGTGCTCCACGCGTGTGGGCACCTCGGCCTGCTCGATCGCGCGCGCGATTTCTTCTCCAGTATCGGACACGACCACTGCCTGGTGCCGATCCGCGAGCACTACTGCTGCCTGGTGGATTTGCTGGGGCGATTGGGGCGGCTGCGCGACGCCGAGGATCTCGTCCAGGGCATGCCATTCCCGGCGAGTCACAACGATTGGACGAGCCTGCTCAACGCCTACATCGTTCACGATGAGATGGATCAGGGGCGCCAGGCATTGGGCAATGTGGTGCGCCATCGCCTCTCTCTTGACGAGCTCCTCGGATGATCCTAGCGCTTCATACAGTACGGGCCGTTGTTATTTGTGGACCATGTGGCCCAAGAGGCAGTGTACGGCGCCATTCCACGCGCTCATCTCTTTCAGTCACTTCTTGTGCGCCTGGCCGTGTAAAAAAGATGCGCAGCTAGGGTTATGGAGCAGCGATGGCGGCCAGCGGCTCTACAGTAATGGATTCTTCTCTCGCAGCGCGCGGAGGCGAGCTGGAGCTGCGGCGCGGCAGATCCTCCTCGTCCTGCCGCCGACAGCGCCGCGCCCGAAGAGGTACGTTCTCCTGGATTACAATGCAAGATCGTGAAAGGCGAGTCGAATTTCCCTGCGCTGCTTGGTGATCAGGATGACCGTTGTCGCAAGCATCATGGAGCCGCAGCCTCTAGACCCGCCGGACATCTCACTGGAGAATCTCTTGAGGCCCATGCTGCCGCCGGGAGCGCCTATTCCAGACTACGATCAGCTCGATTATTCATTCGCAATGGAGTACTCGGGACATGTAGGTGATCATCCGGTTCCCAGGGCTGATCCACTGGTTGGATCTCGGGATAGTTCCAGCCAGGTGGATTCGTCGTCGGTTTCCAAGACGCCAAGGCCCAAGCCGTCTGCGCTACACATAGATACCAGGAAACGAGCTCATTTGGCAGCAGAGAAGCTGATAAGCGAGTCGGGGTCAGCAAGATCACCTATCACAGGACTGGTAGAGAAGGACAGCTCGTCTACCACAGGAAGAAGTCCTTTGTCCAACAGTGGGACAAGAGGAAAGGCTGCCTCTAAAGAGAAGGAGGCCGGCTCGAGTTCCCCGGATTCAAGGCTAGCGTACTCCGGATTGAACTCCCTGTCGCGGAAATCCTCCTCCTCGGAGATTGAAGAGCTGAACGTCCAGTTTTCCGCGGCAGTGTCAGCTGCGGCCTCTGCACTGCCTTCTCCGTCGGCTTTAAGATCCGTGTCGCTCAGTGAGAACCACAACTTGGAAAACTCGGACTTCCATTCCACTCCGCGGTCCATTTCGATGCCAGAGAGGGATAGAGCTGACGGATCTTCGAGGCCTGGCTCGCCATCTGGTGTTACTGCGGTGGAGCCAGTGGTGGTGGTGACGAAAAAGCGTGAATGCCATCGGTGTCTTAAAAAACACATGTTACAGGAGAAAGAGACGTGCCTCGTCTGCACTGCGAGGTACTGTCGGAACTGCGTCCTTATTGCAATGGGCTCCATGCCGGAGGGGCGGAAGTGCTTACGGTGCATTGGCCTGCCTATTCATGAATCACGACGACCGTATCTTGGGAAGCCGTCCAGGCTGCTCAAAAGCATTCTGAGTCCCTTGGAGATCCAGCAGATCATGCGCACAGAGAAGGATTGTTTGGCCAATCAACTACGTCCCGAGCAGCTTATTGTGAACGGCAGGGCCCTCGCTGCGCCGGAGATGTCCGAGCTATTGAGCTGCAGCAATCCTCCTCCAAAACTTAAGCCCGGCAAATACTGGTACGACAAAACCTCTGGACTGTGGGGAAAGGTAAGTTTGCTTTATTACGAACGAAGCTTTCAGAGTACTGAGAAGTTTTTATTCTATGCTGCAACAGGAAGGTGAAAAGCCAAGCAAGATCGTCACTGCAGAGTTGAAAGTTGGTGGCAACCTTAAGCCGGATGCAAGCCTTGGTACAACGGAGGTCTATATAAATTGTCGTCAGATCACCAAGTCTGAATTAAAAATGTTGAAGGTAATTTCTTGTTCTTGCATAGCGCTACAGTAATTTCTACGTTGTTGTTATGATCAGTTGGCAGGAGTGCAGTGTCCTCCGAGTACTTACCTTTTTCTATCACCCGATGGATCGTATATGGAAGAAGGACAGAACAACTATAAAGGAAACATATGGGAGAAGGTAACTCTAAGCGTGCGTATCAATGTGCTCTGAGCGTTATGTTTGTACAGGCTTCCATAAGAGTGATGTATTCTCTGTTCTCATTGCCGACGCCTCGTGGAAGTGTACGTGCCAACAAACCAAGTGCTCGTGAGCTTTCGGCTAGGTACCCTCCCGCCATTTTGGAGCATAAGAATGTGAGCAAGCTGCTTTTACTGGGTCACGAGGGCTCTGGCAGGAGTACAATCTTCAAGCAGGTAAAGACCTTTCACGTGAATGAACTCAATACTAAAATTTGTGGTGTTTCTCAGGCCAAGTTTCTCTACAGAGGTGGTTTCGAGCAGAAGGAACTTGAGAGATACAAGGAAATGATTCAAACGTACATCTACAAGTATCTTGTTATATTGTTAGAAGGTCGCGAGCGTTTTGAAGATGAAGAAGGTGATGCTTTGTTGAAGATCAAATGTGATCCTCCTGCGACAGGTATGGTGACACTGCAAGTAAGGCCTTATCAATGTATCTTTCTCAGGCGAAACCTCAAAGAATATGTATTCGATGGATACGCGGTTGAAGAATCTAGCGGACTGGTTCCTTGACATTACAGCTGATGGATCTTTGGAAAGGTACTTTCCTGCTGCTACACGAGAGTACGCAGCATCTGTGGAAGAGCTTTGGCGCGATCCTGCTATTCAAGCTACATTCAAGAGGAAGGAGGAACTTCATAAGCTACCTGATGTTGCCGGAGAATTCCTAGAAAGGGTGAGCATGTGCAGTTTAAATGGTGAAGGACTTAAATTCTTTGTTTTCAGGTCGTGGAGCTCTCAAGCAATGAGTACGAGCCTGTGGATCACGATATCTTATATGCAGAAGGCTTGACCCAAGGTTCCGGACTTGCAGAGATAGAATTTGGTTTACCCGATCGGGAGCAGACTTCAGGTGCAATGCATGACACAGTGGATTACTCTCCTACGGGAAGGTTAGCCAATTAACTTCTTTTTCTTTCTCGCGCGTCTTGACTTGAAACATCACGCAGGTACCAGCTTATACGAGTGGGTGGTATCGGTCTTAAAGAAGGAAAGAAATGGCTGGGAATGTTCGAGGACGTTCGAGCGGTTGTCTTTACTGTGGCACTCAGCGAATTCGATCAATTATGGATAGACAGCGATGGCGTTGCCCGAAACAAACTTCTTATAAGCAAGGAGCTTTTTCAGGACATTGTGGCACGCCCCTGCTTCAAGGGAACCCCCTTCATTCTCTTTCTCAACAAGTACGACAAGTTTGAAGAGAAGATCATGAAAGGCGTTCCACTCACGACGTGTGACTGGTTTTCCGACTTCAGCCCCGTTGGTGTTCCTCACTCTACCCAAGCTCAACAGGCCTACACATACGTTGTCCACAAGTTCAAGAAGCTCGTCGGTGACCGCAAGCTCTACACCTTCCAGCTGAACGCTCTCGAGCGGAACTTGGTGGCCTCGGCATTCCAGTACGTGAAACACATACTCAAGCACGAAGAGAGCAAGGCGGCCGGCTGGATGGCACTCCCAGAGGACTCTTCCTATTGCACAGACTTGAGCTCATACTCGCTGCATTCCGCGAGGCAAGAGAATGGCAACTCCTGGGACAGGTGAGCCTTTGGAAGTTGCGGTTTGAGCTATCATTTTATTCTAATCCGGCTGCCACTACAGAAGTGCAAGATATGGTACATATGTTTCATAATTTGCAGAGTTTTAGAAACGCGCAGTGACAAGTACGCGAATTTTTGCTGTGCTCTTCCCCTCTTTTTTTCTTCTGGCTCATTAGTTCCCGATCCATCTCGGCTGCTAAAGTCAGACATTTTGGATATGAATTCATTTGTTTCTTGAGGCCATAATGGAAACTTGTGAGGCGGACAGACTTCGACACCAAAGGATAGCATGTGGTGGGTCGCGAAATGGTACGGTGTTTCTTTTGTTGGAATTGATTCATTCAAGTCTCATTGTTCTTTCTTCCTTTTGTGTTTCTTTTTTCTCAGAGAGCGACCAGAAAGTCTGGCAGTGGTGCTGTGTGGTGTGTGGTGCTTTTGCTTTGCACAAACAACACCCAAAGTGCCAAAGTGGAGATTTAGACATGTCTAAGCGCGAGAAAAAAATGATGAACAGTGGTGCGTGCGTGCAAGCAGACTCATTCTACTGGCCAGAAGAACTCATCACATTCCATTAGCTGTGATCACGAAAGGTGAGGCCCGACTTTTCAAATGATTCCAAAGCTTTTTCATCAATCTTATTCAATCCTTTGATGGTCCAGGTGATATTAAACACTTTGCTCGGTCGGGCCTGACTGGATATTCTCTTCTCCAGATCCGAATGTTAAAAGTACTGGCCAGTCACGGGAGGCTTGTGAGCGGCACAACACACTCGTTGCAGGCTGGAGACTACTGTACCGCGAGAAGATAAAAGGTAAGAGGAGCTTTAGGCTTTGTTAGGTAGACCACTGATCCAGCACGCCATTACAGGGAGAGGCTATAGGCATCGCAGAGTGACAAGAGGATCTTTGTAGCCGAGCTCTTGTCACGACGCTTCTTTTGGATCTCCAGTGCAGGAACAAAGCTATAGAAAAATCAAATCGCGAGGTTAGAGTTTCCTGTATCTTAAAATCCTACATTGCTAACAGTTCTATTCTCACTGTGACATAGGCAGGCCTGCCATCACGCGAAAAGGGAGCCGTGCTTAACAGAAACTCCGTAAGAAAGCCCATCGCTTTCACTGCAACAGAACCAAGCAAGGAACGCTCCTTTTCTCGTTTCCTCGGACGGTAAGCCTTTGCAAAATCGATTTTTACGTGATCACGTACTACAATGTTTGGTGTTGCAGAGGTTCTCCCAGAGTTCTCAGTGGGGACCAAGTGTAAGTTAAGTTACGGCCGCTTTATAGTTATGAGCGATACAAGGAGACAAGCTCTTGCCACCCGGGACACACAGTGCCAAGGGAATTGTTTGCTTGCGACGAAGTACTCGACTTTATAAAAACTCGGCAGAGCGGCTCTCTGGATCGCGGCGAGTGACGAGTGATGGATCAACCGCCCAGCCATTCTCTTGTATCCATCCATACAGCTTGGATCTTAGCTTGTCCGAGAGCCAAGAACACGTAAGGACTATACGCTTCCAAGATATGGAGGAGATAAAAAAACGATAACGCGGCGTGGAGGTTTTTAAAACCATGTAACTAGAATCGTGGGATTCGATCACACAATATAATCGGTCGTGGTTGGACGAAATTCCGCCAAGTTTGGCGTAGCGCCGCCAAAGTGGGGTCCTGCTGAAATAGTTAGCAGTAGTAGTAGCATGACGCCGCGCCTCCCCATTCACATGCTCGTACTGGAATGGCTCTTTCCTAGGGTTCTAATCCACGCATCTATGACAAAGATATGGCGCCCAGACGCGACGGCGATGGCGGCCTCGATCGCTCTCGTGGTTAGGCTGCCTACCATGCACTGCCCGTAACGGAGCGCGCGGTCGGAATCGCATTGTCCCCAGGTATCAGCTCGAAATTTCGTCACAGGGGACGGAAATGCGAGCGATTTCTGGGAGATTTCAATGGATCATCGTCTCCCTCTCGCGGTCGATCGGATTCTTGGAGCTCCTAGGCTAGGTTTCTAGAGGCGCTGACCGCTCGGGTACTTTCCAAGATACAGGTCCAAAGTGGAAGAAGTATGTTGGGCCTACAAGGGGATTGCGCTTGCGTTTCCGTCCGAGCACGGGGATCCGAGCAGATAGATAGTGGATTTTGGTGAGGGAAGCAGCGGGCAGGGGCATCAGGAAAAAGTCTTCCTTGGAGAGAAATCTCTCCTCCCTTTCTCTCTCTCTCTCCTTCTCCCCTTCTTCTTCTTCTCCTCCCCCTTCTTCGTCTCTCTCGGGGGACGTTGCATCGGAGGAGATGCTGAGGAAGGCCTCCTCCAAATTAGATCTGGCTCGTCCTCCTGGAGGAGGAGCTGCCAGGCACCGGCTCGACTTCGACAGGCCCAAGCCTTTCCCGATGAGCTTTGGGCTCATGGGCGCTGCTGTCGGGGACAAGGCCAAGACGAAGAAGATCGCCCCGTCCTCGAGAAGCAATTTGATCGCGAGGCCCGAGAGCTTCCGGCAACTTGCTGCCGAGGTGATTGTGGTGGCAATTGACGGGAGCAAGAGCATCACGAGGCATGCTCTTGAGTGGGCTCTATCGAATGTGGTCCAGCCCGGGGATAGGATCATCCTGCTAGCTCTGCTTCCTTCCAGCTCCGGTAAGCGTTTCAAGCGTTTTTTTCTTTCTTCTTCTTCTTTTTTCTCGTATTCTGGCCGGTGATTGCTTAACTGGTTTGGGTTGTTTCTAGGATGGAAGTTTTGGAAATTTGCGAAATTCGCCCGCGATTCTTCGACGAAGGACAAGATCCGGCAGGAGGAAACGCGGAAGTCTTGCCAGTGTATGATGGAGCAGCTTCAAAGCCTTTTTGATGCGAAGAAGGTGAGTACTTCACGATTCCGTTATAAGCTTTTCTATACCGACGGGATCGATTGCGACAGGTACAAACGACCGTGAAGATTTATCCTTCCGCAGAGAAAGGAGCAACGACGATCGAAGCGAAGAAACTTCAGGCTACATGGGTTGTACTTGACAGGTACGTTGCTCGAAAGTTTTTCCGTTTTTCTACGTAGATTTACGGTGGAAATTTTCTTTTTCAGGCACTTGAAGAAGGAAGAAAAGAGGTGCTCAGACAACTTACAGTGCAATTTGGTCATTGTGGATCGCTACAATCCCAAGATACTCCGGCTCAATCTCAAGCAATCTCCAGAAGCGACGCCATTAGAAAAGGCCGCAGTTCCACCACCGTTGGCAAAGCAGGCTGAAACTCCCGCAAGCAGTCCCGATGTGGGAACGCCTTTCACATCTACCAGCAGAGGAAATTCATCATGCTCCGAGTCCAGCACCTCCCCATTCTCAGGCACAGAACCTGGCAGCTATCAAACGACTACTCCTGAAAGCTTTGGTGTGACCATCGAGGACGTACGTCGTCCGGAATATGGTGCGTCAGAATCCGATAGCGACGACCCGACGGTTGTCCCAAGACGGTGGAGAAACTCATCCAGGAATCTCTCGACTAAGGACCACTCTAAGAACAAAGAATACAAGGAGGCACGACAAGCTGAAGGTACTTCCACTTGTGTTTGTGTGAATCATGCTAATTATGACTCCTTCAGGTAAGAGAAGCAGCACACCAGTTCAAAGAGCAAGAATCAGTCCAATCAAGCAACGGATTTCTTCAGACTCCCGGCTGTCTACAAGTATGAGAGAGGGCAGCTCCAGGCAAAGCTTGAAAACTATTCTGAACCCTGCCGCTCCGCGATTAAGCAGCAGTGGTACTGCTCCGAAGCTAGCGCTGTCTGATTTGCTCACATCCTGCAAGCTCAGCTCAGAACTGGACGAGAGAAACAACCGGCCAAATTGCGAAGAAGCCACAAGCATAAGAAGAGCTGTGTCTTTGACGACACACTCTCCGTTAGAGCCACCACCTCTGTGCTCGATCTGCCAGCACAAAGCACCTGTCTTCGGCCGACCTCCCAGAGAGTTCACGTTCGAAGAGCTCGAGCTCGCCACAGGTGGTTTCTCCCAGGCCAACTTTCTGGCGGAAGGTGGCTTTGGCTCGGTGCACAGAGGCGTTCTTCCTGAAGGCCAAGTCGTTGCAGTTAAGCAGCACAAGCTCGCGAGCTCGCAAGGCGACGTCGAATTCTGCTCAGAGGTGGAGGTTTTGAGCTGTGCTCAACACCGAAACGTTGTCATGCTTATCGGCTACTGCATGGAGGACAGCAGGCGTCTTTTGGTCTACGAGTTTATATGCAATAACTCTTTGGATGCTCATCTTTACGGTAAGTTCTTCTGTTTTTTTTTTTCTTTTGCTAACGATGCCAAGTTCCTGCAGGTAAAACCATGGATCCACTGGAGTGGAAATACAGACAAAGGGTTGCTATCGGTGCTGCTCGAGGATTACGGTATCTGCACGAGGAATGCCGAGTCGGCTGCATTGTTCACAGAGACATGCGTCCTAACAACATTCTTCTAACACATGACTACGAACCTATGGTAAGTTGCATTGTTATGAAAGAGCACGCGTGAAGTTCCGGTTTTGTTCCAGGTTGGTGATTTTGGTCTAGCTAGATGGCAACCAGATGGAGAACTTGGAGTTGAAACCCGCGTTATTGGCACCTTCGGGTAAGGTTTTGAAAGCTTTACGTGAAACAAAACTTAGCTATGGCATGAACTCTGCTCTGTCAGGTATTTAGCACCTGAATATACACAAAGTGGTCAGATCACAGAAAAGGCAGACGTTTACTCGTTTGGAATAGTGCTCTTGGAGCTTGTAACTGGCCGCAAGGCCATCGACATTTCGCGTCCAAAGGGTCAGCAATGCCTCACGGAATGGGTAAGTTCTTGAGCTGGTCTCTCACAACCTTTCTCTAATATGCTCGTGTGATTTGTTCTAGGCTCGTCCATTGTTGAGAAAACGAGTCTACCGGGAGCTAGTCGACCCCAAACTTTGCGGCGAGTTTGAGAAGGACGAAGTGACCTGTATGCTCCATGCTGCTTTCCTGTGCATATCACGGGATCCAAACACACGGCCACGGATGTCCCAGGTATGGTTTGTTTTCCATTTGCATCTAGCACCAACTTCGAGCGAGTTCTCACGACTCACACGAAAACGAAACAGGTTCTTCGGATTCTCGAGGGCGAGATGACAATCGACCCAGCTCCAGCCTCATCTCTCAGCGACGAAGATATCCCTTCCAGGCCAGTGAGCGAGCCGACGCGGCGGTCGACGAGCGCCATCTCCAGCCGGAAGAACAGGTACATTCCCAGCAGCGTCGGCCACTACAGCTCGGGAGCTGCCAAGGAAGATGGAGCTCTCGCAAGGCCAAACTCTGGCAACTTGACACTAGAAGAGCTCAAGGCTGCGTATCGACACAAGCTCGGTCATCGCAGGCTCTCCCTGGGCGATGCTTTGTAACATAGCATTGTGATTTTGCGCTTATATACTATGTAAATTGCGAAGAGAGATGATTTTGTTAGTATTCTTTTTCGGCGGTCCAGATTATGTTCTTTCTTGTTTTTGACGGTTGGGATCTGCTGACGATGCTGCCACGTTGGCACAAAAGAATTTTCTGACACGTGGCAGGATTCTCTAGGGTTTATCGGCAATGGGGACAGTGGTGGAGAGCGCCACTGAGCAAGCGAAGACGCTCGTGGCGGCGCTGTGCAGGCAGTTCTATGGCCTCGGCTGGGTGTCTGGAACTGGCGGAGGTGTTACTCTCAAGGTGGAGGATCCGCAGCTCCCCATGGCCGATCGCTTGATCGTCATGGCTCCCTCAGGTAAAATTTCTGCGATGCGATGCGAGCATTGTGATCTTGGGATTCGTTTCGATCTCCCAGGAGTCCAGAAGGAAAAGATGAATGCGGAGGATATGTATGTGCTGGATAAGAATGGGGCCGTCCTCTCCACGCCATTGCCATTGCCTCCTCCTCACAAGCCGCCCAAATGCACGGACTGTGCTCCTCTTTTCATGAAGGTTCTAAAGCTTCTTCTTGTACTTTTTTTTAAAAATTCTTTCCTTCTCATGCGACTTGGATTCGTGACTTAGGCGTACACGATGAGGAATGCTGGAGCTGTGATTCACAGCCATGGAATGGAGAGCTGTCTCGTGACCATGATCGATCCCGGTGCCAAAGAGTTTCGGGTAATACTTTTCTTTTTCTCTTTTTACTCTTTTGAGCTCCATCTGCTGTAGATCACTCACATGGAGATGATCAAAGGAATCAAAGGGCATGGTTACTACGACGAGCTCGTAGTCCCGATCATTGAAAACTCTGCGTATGAATACGAGCTCACGGACTCTTTAGCAGCAGCCGTGAGTAAAAGCTCGTTCGTTTCTCACTGTTGTCTTTCTGATTCGTGTTTTGCTGGAAGATTGCCGCTTATCCACGAACGACGGCGGTGTTAGTGAGAAACCATGGGATTTACGTCTGGGGTGACTCGTGGATCAGTGCTAAAACTCAGGTGATAGTATTTTTGCCAGCTTGACTCTTAATCTTTTGCGAAACAGGCAGAATGCTACCATTATCTTTTTGACGCCGCACTTAAGCTTCGCCAGTTTGGCCTCGACCATACAGACCCCTTGCATGGACCAGTGAAGAAACTCAGCCTTGCAGCTCCAAAGAAAAACTATCCCGTAAGAAATACTGTCCATTTATGCGGCTTTTATCAAATGTTTTTCTTCTTTGCAGCGTGTGATTTTACTTGATATTGAAGGCACCACCACTCCCATATCGTTCGTGACGGACGTTTTGTTTCCCTATGCGCGTGACAATGTGGGAAAACACCTCTCAGCCACTTACGATTCGAAGGAGACTCAAGATGATCTAGAACTTCTCAGGCAACAGGCAAGATTTCAATGGTTTTGGTGGCAGCAGAAATCAAGCTCTCGTGTTATGACAAGCAGGCTTCCAAAGACACAAAGGAGGGAAACGTGCAAGCGCAGCTCATTCCTCCAAGTGATGCTCCTAAGGACGAAGTCATTGCGGCAGCGGAGCGTAACGTTCTCGCCATGATTGCTGCCGATCGCAAAGTTACAGCCCTCAAACAATTGCAGGTCTGGTCTTGTTTTGAATCAACGTTTCTTGATCCTTTGCATCACAGGGACATATTTGGAGAACAGGATACAAAAACGGTGAACTCAAAGGCCAAGTCTTTCAGGACGTTCCTGAAGCACTCTCCTTGTGGCATTCTGCCGAGTCGAAGGTCTGATAGAAGTTCCCAAAGCACGATGTTGATGTTGTCGCCTTGTTCCTTTCAGGCCTATATTTACTCGAGTGGGAGCCGAGAAGCGCAGCGGCTGATCTTTGGGAACACAAACTTTGGTGATTTGAGGAGATACATTTCGGGCTACTTCGATACCGTGACAGGGTGAGATTTTCTGCACTTGGTTCATTACATTTGCTCCTTGCATCTCATTCCTTTTCAGAAACAAACGAGAGGCACGGAGCTACACTGAAATCTTCCTTTCGGTGGGTGCCGACGAGCCTTCTCAGATTACTTTCGCCACGGACGTGCTGGCTGAAGCTGTTGCGGCTAAAGAAGCTGGTAATGCTGGGAAAAAAAAAGCGAGAGATGTGTTGCTAATGTATCACTGCTTTTGTTACCAGGCCTGGACACTGTGATACTTGAGAGACCAGGGAACGCACCACTGCCTAGCGGTCATGGTTTCAGGACGGCAAGCACCCTTCTCGAGATATAAGATTGGGGCGCCCTTATGATACTCAAAGTTTGCAGGCTCTTACTCAAACAAAGAATCGCGCCTTGGCATATTCGAGAAGCTAAGCTATCGGGTCGGCTTTGGGCTTGTGAGAAGTCTAGAGGAAGTAAAATATTTTTTAACCTTGTATTCTCAAACCAGGAGTGCCTCTCTTTTGTTTATCTCCAGTTCGTCCGGTGTTCTTGGTTCTTGGGCGAGTTTTCTTCCGTTTCCCATGCATATCGGGAGTAAGACGCTATTAGATGATTCATCCGTGAACTTCGTGAATAAAGCTCACAAACCGGCTCCCGCGCTGGGTATGATCCACGTCAAATAAATGGAATTGTAAGTCAGTGACGGTGGCAATGGCCACTCCCAACTAAGCTAGCACCTGAAAAGACATAACTACTCGACAAATGTTTGCAACATTTCATTTCTTTTCAAGGAAACCACAGAGTGCTTGTGTAGATCGTCTCGTTTTCCCACTGCCAGAGCGTAAACTTCCATCTACGTTAGCTGGCCCTGGAACGTTGTTCTATGGCACCATTGCAATCTCATGGTGTTGCAAAAACAAAAGGAAGTTAGAGAAACCATAATGAAAACTAAAGAGAACAAGACTTGGTTCTTTGGACAAACATTTTGGTTAGAACAAACAGCTCACGAACCTCTTAAACTTCGACTTCCATTTCGTTGAACAGCAAACATCCTAGTTAGACAAACCAATATATGAGTTGATTCAGGCGTCTTTTCTTGTAAATTCACACTATGCACATTCCTTTGCCTTGGGAGTTTTCATGATCGTTGTTTTCATTAAGGTTGGACCATTGTCAATGTACGTCTTCAGCTGGATTGAAGTTCTGAAGATCACGTTGTTTCTCAGCCAGCAGGTCTTCCGTTGAGCACAGCAACAACATAACTCAAAGCCTCTCCAAAACGTTGACAGAAATCACTCCAATCTCGCAGCATTTTTCTTTTTGAACACAGCGTTTTTTAGTTCTTATCGTGGTTGAGCAGCACCAACACGTCAATTGTCTTTTTCATGACAAGAAATTAGAACAAATTGAAACACATGCAAACCTGAAGCTAAGTTTCCCTTTGCGTTGAGGGTTCCTTGGACCCTTGTTTTGCACTTAGCTTGTTTGAGCTGTTTTATGAGCATATCATCTTAGCTTGACTGTGTCCCTAGTTCCCTTTTGCGTTGAGCATAGCATCTTCTTGACCCGTCGAAAATAAAGAGCGAACCTGATGTCTTCAAACGTTGAGAGTTTCAACACGAATTCAAGCCTTTCATTTATCGTTGATCATTCGATCCTAGCTCGTTGCAAGCAGCTTCGCTTTCTTGTCTCCAGCAAATCTCTCTTGTTTCGTTGTCTTACTCGCTTATTCCTAACACAAAGAAAAGCCCTTACCTTGAGAGGTGGAGAGGTGCGAGAGTTACGGATCATGATCGCTGTTGTCATTGTCATTTACGTCTTCAGCTGGATTGAAGTTCTGAAGATCGCAGGTGCCAAAAAGTTGTTTCTCAGCTCACAGGTCTTGCCTTGAGCGCAGTAACAACATAACTCAAAGCACTGACAATCTCTCCAAAACGTTGACACAAAATCTCTCCAATCTAGTAGCATTTTTCTTCTTGGCACACGCTGTGACATGGCGTTTTCCAGTTCTTATCGTCGTTGAGCAACACCAACATGTCACTTGGCTTCTTCATGACAAGAAATTAGAACAAATCGAAACACACGCGAACCTGGCAACATGAAACTAAGTGTCGTTGATCTAGTTTTGTTTGTATTCACAGAGCGTTGTCCATCCGTTGTTTCACTTGTTTGAGTTGTTTGTTGTGTCACTGGCTCCCTTTTGCGTTGCAATCGCGAACCTGGTGTCCTCGAACGTTGAGAGTTTCAACAGGATTTCTTGATCGCATCTAACAGACCTCTTAGCTCGTTGCAAGCAGCTTCGCTTTTGTCTTATTGCCTATCTAAACGAACTTACCTTGCGGGAGGGGAGAGAGAGAAGCACCTGGAGCTCCGATCAATGGGCAGAGTGGAAGCGTCGCGACCCCAACCCCAACCCCAAGACATCCCGGCATCCGCCCTAGCCCTTCATCAACGATGTACCCTAAGTTTGAGCTAAGAATCACTATTTTATATAGGCAGGGCAAAAAGGGAAAGTTCTCAAAACGAAAGCTGCTAAATTACTCGTCGCTAGAAGCGGGAGGGGACGAGGAATCCTGCTGATCGGACAGCCTGCTGGATGGCTCTTCCGTGCTGCTGTTGCGTGCCCGCACGGTAAGCTTCTGGATCTCAGCCGCCGAATGCATCGCACCGTCGTGCAAAACTCCCTGAAATGTAAAAACTCTTTAAGCAAATGAAATGCACAGACGAGATCTTACCCCCAGGGGTCGTCTCCGACGAGCAGCATGTCGCCTTCGTTATCTACGTACACGGCTTGCCACGTTCAGGTTCTCGTCAATGCCGAACAGATGCTGCAGCTCCTCCAGGAGTTCCCTGTATCCCCGAAACTTGGGCAAGTCCAAAGCTCGTCCCACTGCACCGTGTTTGTGAACCTTTGAAAAGTAGAAGAGATTCAGAGTCTGGCGCTTCAAATAAAGAATGAGATCTTACTTTGGTGCACGTCCTGCTTGCTGCTGCTGGTTCCAGTTCTGGCCAGTAAAACACTTCCTGAAGCCGGAAGCTTCCGACTCGAGATCCTTGTGGACGTCGTCTTTGGCGGTGCTGGCCAAAGCTGTCTTTGCCTTCAACGAGAAACCAAATAGTTTGCACTCGCGGTCAGAATCGTTTGCATTACCTGGGGCTCCCCAACTCCTTAAAGAACAAAAAAGAGTAGACAAAAAAGCATTACATAAGAAGTGACGATGGATTTCACTTACTGGGAGCCTGTTGCTGCGAGGAAACATGTGAAGCTTTGTCTGTTGTCTGCAAGTAGACTGAGCAACTTCATGCTGCTGGTTGGAGAAGCTGCTGCGGTTCCCGAATTGTGGAGGAATCTTTTTCTCTCGAAACTGCTGAATGCAGAGCCTAAGCTGCTGCTGGTGCATATCGACTTTACGATGAGATGGTAGCCCCTCGTTTCTGGGGCTTGGCAATCCAGAAGGAAAACCAGGAACACTATGACCACTCAGGTGTCAGTCGAAAGTCATACGACAATCATCTTTGTCAGATCCTACAGGCCAACCGTAATTTGCAGGCATCTCAGAGAGGGAAAACTTTCTCCTGAAGTCTCTCTATTCTGGATAATAGACCAACCGTGAATTAAAAGTGCATGTAGAGAGTACTTATGTCTGTGAGCATTGTTGGCCTGCCTGAATCTCTTCGTCGAAACCGGGGGAGTCACATTGAGCAATAAATGGATTTATCTCTCATGCCTGTCTTTCGCTAGCCGCGTGCTCAGCTAAAAAATGCGTCACTTGAAGACAGGACTCTTTACCTTTGGGAAGCGCCATTTAGAGCCAGGCCATCGAGCCGGATCGATATCGCCAATTCCAGTAATAGTTCCCATATATCTGACACTACCGGTGGAAACCAGCAAGTCGGACGAGAAGAGGTCCGCGTGGATTCTTCTGCCGGCCTGGAGCTGGCGCAAAACCTGAGGGAGGAGATGGTGATGGAGAGGTTGGGTCTCTCACCTTTGCTGCGCGTCCCATCGCAGAGTTTGCGAGCCTGTTTGATATCGTAGAGCTATCAAACTCGAAACTCGATCGATAAAACTTACTTGCGGGAATGGACTTGTTTGATGCTCCCTTGAGGCGAGTTCTCACTCGAGTCGGTCCGACGTTGAAAGTGTGGACGAAGTCGGGAAAGGTTGGATTTTCAAGAAATTTAGAAACGAAAAAAATGCTGTCTAAAGTTGTGCTACCTACTCCTGCTCAAAAACTCTAATCCTCGGAATGAGGCTCTTACCATCGCTCGTTGAAAACATACAAAAAAAAGGAGCGCGTGATCCCTTCACTGGCGAGAGCTGGAGCTGTAGCGATGCTCGGTCACCCGCCTGACGCGATGTGCCCCGCATTATCAGCCACGTCATTATCCCCCTCCGAGGATAACACCGTGCTGACTCCCACCTTGAAGCGGGCGCGCTCATGCCATTGGTGTCTTCGCGAGCTGTTATATATCAAATGAAAGCCCTTGAGCTTGGGCATATGGGATAGGGCACTCTAGTTAGGGCTGCTCAGCATATTCTTTGATCCCTAGGGCAGGGACCTTTTTAGGTTTGGTTTTAAAGATCAAGTGGATCCCCTGTGAATGGATGGACTCGATCGATCAGAGCGCTCGGGGCGTCTCGTCCTTCGCTGCCGGTGACGAACATTGGTTCTCCTGTAAACAACGAGATATCTGGTAGATCAAATTCAAGATACTCGGCTTCTTGAGCAGCAGGAAGAAAATGCGGATGTGCTTCGGTACGCCACGGCTTCATTGCTCGTACCAGAGATGAGTTCCATAACAGGTGATCCCTACATGGCGCAGCAAGCACAGCCACCACGATTTAGAAGATGCAGAAGGATGAAGATGGGAAAGAGGAATGGCTATAAAAAATGATATGTCAACCCCAAAGCAGAGAAGCTTGTAGAATGGTGGACAAAAACATCAAAGATCCGTACCCAATGACAACCTTCTTGCTTCTTTTCCTTTTTTCTTTTTTTCCCTTCAGAAGCTTGGACAAACAATTGGTGGAAGGTCCATGATGGAGCGGATATCCTAATAAGAGCTGGCTAGAAGCGGGCCAAACATGGAGTTGGAGCTGGTAATCTTTTAAGTCTTCATAGAGTTTTAAACTAGTGTGAGATGAGTCATGCTTCATGGTAGGCACTGCAAGACCATGTAAACAGCATATGAATGAATCAATGGATCAGACATTCAGCCTTCTTGCTTGCATCCTCTAATCACAATGCTCAAAACCTGTCTTTTCCACCAACAAAGTCTTTCTTCATCCTTTCATGAATAGATATGGAGGGAAATTAAAGTCAAACTAAAACTTCAACAAGCTTACCAAAAAGAACGCAAGCCTCAGAAATTTTTCTCCGCTGAATCGACTTTCTTATACACTGCCCTACGGCACGTGGGATAGCTTCTCGTCACGTGTCGCACAACCACGCAACACATTTTGGACCGCCTAAAGATCAAAAGATCGTATATGGTCCCAAGTTTTAATTGACAATACATCAAGGATGATAATTCGGCACCACCTTTGCTGAAATGATTCCTATCATTTTTATCGCTGAATTTTTCTAGAGAACTGGCACCTCTCGACGCCATTGCTGTTGTTTCTTTTGCTGATATTTGATAGCCCGCCTCCACTGAGAGCTCTGCTGCTGCTCGATGCTCCTAATCTTTGCCTGGCCTTTCCCGTTCTGTGAGCCTTCGAAAAAGAGATCAAGTCGATGGAATTCGCCTTAGAGCTTTTAGTCCTCAAGAGGGAAAGAGCTTACCCGTAGATATCTGGTTCGCGGCTTTCAAAGCCTCATCGGCAAGCTTTTTCCACTCGTCCGCCACGGAGTAACTTATTCCCATGCCCATGCTAATGCCTCTAAGTATGTGAATCGTTCTAAGGAGGAAAAACAAATCCCTGGGAAACTTCTGCAAAACAAATGGTACACAGCTATCAGCAAAAGTGAGACCAAGAATGTAAGAGATACACTCACGGGAACTGATATCTGCTTGAGAAGCGAGTCGTCTGCAAACGGATTCACCACTGTTAACCCACCGGGAAGTTTCGTGTCAAACATGATTGTGGCCAGATCTTTGATCGAGCCCTCACCAATCATGGACAGTTTCGAGATTTCAATCCCCAAGTCCCTGACGAGAGACATTTTTCATCTTTACCGTCGAAAGAAGGCAACAGCTTACCCGAAAGCTAGCTCAATCCGCTTTGGATCATGAGAAGACATTCCAAGTATCAGCCTCGCAAAAGCGAGCCGCAACTCATTAGGGAGTTCCTTGACTTGTCCGTAGTCCAGTAATGCCACCTGCGGCAATCATCTCATCCACAAAACTATTCTAACATGACAAGAAACTTTACCTTGCCATTGCTTTTCACAAGTATGTTTCCTGGGTGTGGGTCAGCTTGGAAAAACCCGTCTCTCAATATCATTTGGCCGTAAGCTGCAGTGATATCCTTCAATATCGACCTGCACAGTTGAATCAGTAGAGAAAAGCTCGCAAAATGCTCACCTCTTTGCATGGTTCGCAACACTTCCGTGGGGATTAATGCCTCGTTTAATCATCTCATCCGCTATACGTAAAATCGGAATGCCCTCAACAAAATCCATTACCAGAACTTTTCTATAGGAAAACAGAAGATTAGAAAGTGAATATACAGACTTTAATCTAATGTACCTTGTTACGAATCCTGGAACAGGACGAGGAACCTGAATGGGAGGGCTCCCACGATTCTCTTTGCTTAAAGTAACCGCAATCCGATCCATTGACTTCGCTTCCCTCAGGAAATCGAACTCATGGTGAACCTGCCTAACAAAGAGCTTAGAAACATACATACGAAAGCTTCGTTTACCTGCTGCTCGAGTTCGTCGACAGCCGAAACAAGATCAAACTTTACATCGAAACGCTGCAAGAATGCTCCAAATGTTTTCTGATTGGATATATCAGTCATCATCAGCTCTTCAGCACCAGGATGTTGCACCTAGAAAACGGAACGATAAAACAGTCAGGATAGATCCGTAACAGAAGCAGGTCTTACTTTGACAGCAACGTCAGTCGATCGACCCTTTAGTCGCGCTCTGTGAACCTGGCAACAAGAGTTAGTAGAGAATTCCCGCAGGTTGAATGACAGTACCTGAGCGATCGAAGCACAGCCAAGGGGCTTCTGATCGAAACGTTCGAAGAGTGCATTGATTGGGTTTCCAAGCTCAGCTTCCACAATACCCTGGACAGTCTCGAAAGGTGTAGGAGGAGCATCGTCGCACAGCACAACAAGCTTCTTCACCCAAGCTGCAGGAACCAAATCCGGTTTTGCCAGAACTTGAGCAGACTAGAATCAAAGCCAAAGTGTCCATTTCACGAAGAAACAATTTTCGCATCAAAAAATCTTACTTTTAGGAAGAATCCACCGAGGTCAGTACAAAGAGCGTAAACCTTTTCGGCCGCACTCTCATGCTGTTCCTCCCAAATCCTGTCTTGCTCCTGCTTGTCACTGACGAACTGGACCCGGATTTGGCACACCTGCACATCAATTGCCAGTGTCACGAAATTCTTCCCTCCTCAAAAACCCCACCTTGTAGCTGGCATAGATCGACATGCAGCGCATCCAGAACTGCATAGTCCGATCGATGGTGCGCTTCTTGCTCTCAATGTGCACATCTCGCTGCTGCTTGTCCAGCATAATATGAGCCCACTGCCTGGTCCTGTTCTCCATGGCCCTGTAAAGCTCTACAGCTACTACCCCAATCCTTCCAAGCCCGCTGCCGCCACCACCGCTAACGTCGCAGCCATCCCATTTCTTCTTTTTCACTCTGCCCTGGAAACAAATTGGTTTCTCACCACGTCCTCTGCCACGTCCTCTACCACATCATCGGCCATTCTAGTCCACGTCGTCCTTCACACGTCTCCCATGCACTTTTTTTTTGACAGATTTGCTTTGGATTTTCGGTCTCTCCTTTTTTTCCAGCCGTCACGGGCTTGCTGCTTTCGAACATAAAGATCGATTTTCCTGTTACAACAAACCAAGTATTAAATCAAATCTTTGAAAATAAAGGACTACGCCATTACTTGCCGTATAAGATCAAAATATACTGTTGTGTCAAATTGTCGTCTTACTCATGGGCATCATGGCTTGCTCAAAAGCGTGCCGGTTCATGTTGCGGACTTCGAGTGGGCTTGATCGTCGCTTGTCAAGAACTGCATATTGCTCCACAAGCTGCAAAAACTCGGGCCGCCAGATGCTTCCTTTTTCTAAAAGCCGGTCCACCAAAACGTTGACAAAACTGCGATTGCGCTCAAGATACTGCAGTAAAAACTCCTTTGGTTCCTAGAGAAAAACTTGTAGGAATGTTTTACCTCAAGCGCCCTCGCATAGCAACTCTCAAGTATCTTCTGCGCTTCTACATCTACATCCTGCAAAAAAGCACCCAAAAGATTTAGAACCATCACGTAGAATTTGAGGCATCGTTACCCATATACTTCGCTGTCTATACCAACAGCCACTGTTAAGCCCATATAACTCCTTCCTGTCGGAATGTCCGGCACGAACAAAACTTCGTGCAGCTTTTCTTGCAATATCAACGTTGTCAGACGCAACCGTGCTAATCTGCAGAAACGTCGCATGAGATGAAGACAATATATGCGTCAGCTGACGAAGAACCTGATCAGCACCGTTCCACAACTCGTCTGCTGCACGGGGAGCAAGTTGGACGGTTATGTGGTCAAGGAATCCCTGGCGACTGTAAACGACACGGAACATCAAGCAGGTATTATAGAAATTCTATAAAAACAAAACCTGATCGATTCCAAGTATCCAAACTTCAACGGATCCGCTTTAAAACGTACAAAGCCCTTCTCTTCACCCATTCTCGGTACGATGGACATCTGAAAGAAAACTTTCAATAAAAACTTGCAAGAAAGTAGTCAATACCAGTTGTATGTCTTCCATATCGGGACAATTCGCAGCCATAGCAGCCATTGATGCTTCCTGTAGTGCAAGGATACGCCTCACTCTGTCGCTGCGTATGTGTAGATCAGGTTGTCCTCCCTCTTCATTTTGTGCAGCCTCCAGCAAGTCATCCGTTGTGACCTGCATACATTTCTCATATATGCTTTGTGATAAAACATCTCAACTCATATCACCTCTGTGCGACCATCTCGAAGAGCTGCCAATGCAGCAACATCAACGATATGCGCAAGTTGAGCACCAGCCATGCCAGCAGTGATTTGACCGACCGCGCGATAATCAATGCCTTCACCCATTGGTTTTGATTTTGCATGAACCTAGCGAGAAATACTGTTAGACGCTTGAAGCGTAATTGCAAAAACATACCTGTAGTATTTCAATGCGCCCTTGCAAGCTTGGCTTAGGAATGTATATTTTGCGATCAAAACGACCAGGTCGTACAAGAGCAGGATCAAGAATATCAGGCCTGTTGGTTGCTGCGATAGTGATGACCTGTCCTTTACCCTCAAAGCCATCCAAACATGTAAGGAGCTGCAAGCCTGAATGTCAGCAACTTTTTTTTTCGTGATGAAGAAAAAACGTGACCTGATTGAGAGTAGAGTCGCGCTCTTGACCTCCAGATCCCGCTGTGAGACCTCGCGTCCTTCCAACAGCATCAAGTTCATCGATAAAAACCACTGCCGGGGCCTGCAATCAGAAGTCAAAATTCATATCACTTACTTTGAAGAGCACCAGAAAAAACAAACTTACATTCTGATTTGCTTCGCTGTAGAGAGATCGTACTCTCGACGCACCAACACCAACATAGATCTCCACAAACTGAGATGCAGAAATGGCAAAAAAGTTTACGCCAGCTTCACCAGCAACTGCTTTGGCTAGTAAAGTCTTTCCCACTCCAGGCTCACCACATAGTAGTATGCCAGCTGAAAAACACGAAGATTATAAGCTATTTCAAGAATCAATCACTTACTCGGAATTCTGGAGCCTCGTCTCCGGAACTTCTCTGCATGAGTGAAGAAATCAACAATTTCCTCAAGCTCCACTCGGATGTTTCCAAGACCAGCAACGTCGGAAAACTTGACATCTGCCTCGGGGTCCATGTACTTTCCCGAGCGAAGTGCACGACCCTGCCGCATTTTGGCGCCAGATCTCATAAAGCGCATTCCCATCTTGAACGCGTCAGCGTTCTCCTCATCGGTTTCCATCTCCGTTCCCCCGGAGCGAGAAGCCTTCTCCATTGCCATCTCCACCTGTTTCATCTCCCTTCGCTCGGCCTCCTCCGCTTTTCTGATTTTAATGCGGTCCTCGTAGTCCTGCTTCCGTTTCTTGATGCCAACCACCACAGTCACGTAGAAGAGCCAGAAGAAAAAAATCCCCAGAGTGAATCGCACGCTCTCATTGTTAGCAGCAGTCGCCCAGAAATAGTTCCACTCGTCTCGCCTCTCCCTCTGCAAGGCGCGGCTTGCCTTGGAGTCCTCCTTCATCTTCATTTGCTGATCCAGAAAAAACTTCTGCTCCTTGGCTGCTTCCTTCCTCGCTTCCTCCTGCTTCCGAAACATCTGCTCTCGTTTCCTTCGCAGCTTCTGCCGCTCAAGCTCCTCGAGCCTTGCAGCGGCAGCGGACTGGAAGATCGTGTAAGCATCTTGCTGTGGCCGCTGAGCTTGTCTCTCCCTAGGCTTCTTGATAAAGTCTTCCACCTTCTTCAAAAACACGAGCGACGGACCTCTCATCGCCCAAGGTGGAATCTCGAGCGGCGGCGGCGGAGGAGTGTAAGCCTCCGTCACAACCTTGTCTAGCTTGAGCTCGTCCCACGACTTGAAAAACTCCCCAGCGCTCCCAGCGTCGGGAACAACCGTTCTTACAACGCGATCATCGTCCATGACCACGAAAACCTCCGCCGGTACTTCTCTGAGCTTCGTCCCGGGATGGCGGATGATGTGCTTGACATTGCCGAGCCTGGCCGAGCGTATGATATCGTCGTAAGCGATATGTTCTTCTACCTGTGGCAATCCAGACGTCCAAGCTTTCCTCTCCTCCGGAGTCATGAACCGCTGCGCCTTCTTCTTCTTCGCCCCTGGCATCGACCTCTGGAATTTCCCGATGGCTCGAAAGGCTTCCACGGTGACCAGAGCGGCAGCAGCAGCACAGAGACCCTGTAGAAGGAATCCAACCGGCCGAAGAAGCAGTGACTCCGCGAGCCTCTTCTTCTTGCTGCCAATCTCATCGTCGGCTCTATCTCGATCCTGTTGTAGCGCTGCGCGTGTCCAGTGCCTAGAGATTCTACTCTTCTCCCTGCGGCGCCATGACTTCCAGCGCGATAGCTCTTCGTAATCCGGCCCTAGGAGCGAGGAACTGGAGGAAAATCTCGACCCAGTGCGGCGGAGAAGTCTCGATTGCGAGGAAGAAATCCTCGCTCGATCGGAGTGGCACTCACCAGTGAGAGAAAAATGTGGCTGGAGAACCGTGGTGATGAACGCCGATCCCGCCATTGCCGCTCTAGCTATCAATCATCGGCAATCCATCCAAGCCATAAACCCTAGAACCCTAGGTAGCTAGCAGATGGATAGTATCTTGGGAAGCGGCATTTTCAAGGATTGTGGAACGGGATCGCGCTGCTGCTCGCGATCGCTGGTCTACGATCCTAGAGCGCTCCCTTCCGGCCAGCGCTTTGATTCCAGGTCGCTAGCGCTGCGCTCGCAGTGGAGCAAATCAAGATCAAGGTATAGTTTTCTATGCATGGTAGTGGTTTTTTGCTGACTTTTGATGAGCATTGTCTCGAGCTTGCGAGTTCTACCGATGGACGAGACGAGAAAAACCAGTGACGCGACGCTGGATGGATTCGTGAGTCTAGCACACGAGCTCGCCGACGCTGCCGCCAAGATCACTCTCAAGTACTTCCGGACGCGCATCGAGGTCATTGATAAGCTTGATCTCAGTTGAGTATATGTGCTTCTTTTTATTGCTCGAAGCTTCTCCTTTCTGGTGAATGCAGGCCCTGTGACTATAGCCGATCAAGCTGCCGAGGAAGCCATGCGCGCTTTAATTCTCCAACGTTTTCCCTCTCACGCAGTGTAAGCTTGCAGCAAAGTCTCTCGTGTGTATCATCGCTTTCCTACAGCTTTGGAGAGGAAGGTGGCTTGACCATGCCTGATTCGATTGCAGAGTATGCCTGGGTCCTAGACCCGATCGATGGAACCAAGAGCTTCATCACTGGTTGGTATTCTTCTCGGTGCTCTTCTAATCACTTTCTCCATGCGTTTGCAGGGAAGCCAGTTTTTGGAACACTGATATCGTTACTCCACAACGGTGTTCCAGTAAGTATTCTCACTTTTTCTCTTACACACATGAAGACTTTTCTTATACCGCACGGTTTGGAAATTCCAGATACTTGGGATTATAGATCAACCGGTCTTGAAAGAGCGGTGGCTTGGTGTAGCAGGACAAGCCACCGTACTCAACAATCGAGAAATCAGCACTCGTTCGTGTCATTCGCTCTCCAGTGCCTATTTGTATCACGCTTGGTTCTTGCTTTCAGTCCTTTTCCAAAGTATCTAACTTCGCAATGGTGCCAGGTACACCACGAGCCCGCACTTGTTTGACAAGCTCTCGGAGCAGGCTTTTGCTCGCGTCCGAGAAGAGGTGTTTTGCCACTTTTCTTTTCCTTTTTTCCTTCACGTTATCTGATTGTGCTCTAACGTACCAGGTGAAAGTTCCTCTGTATGGATGCGATTGCTATGCCTATGGTCTTCTCGCGGCTGGACATGTCGATCTCGTGGTTGAATCCGGACTCAAGGTGAGAGCAGTGGTTTTACAAACATCTCTAAAACAAGATCCTTTTCTTCCAGCCATACGATTATTTAGCATTGGTACCAGTTGTGGAAGGCGCTGGAGGAGTCATAACCGATTGGCAAGGCAACAAACTAACGTGGAAGCCGGACTTTGACGAAGGTAACTCTTCTCGAAACACTAAAGAGTCGCATTCATTCTTGTTTCTTCATATCCACAGAGCTAATCAAAACGAACGTGATCGCTGCTGGCGATTCGAGAGTACACAGGGCTGCTTTGGGCCGGCTCGATTGCCAAGCGAGCTAGAGATCACGAACGTGTTAGAAGTCACGAGAAACGAAATAAGTTCCACATTTATGGGAGCTAAAGTTATAAGGGGCTCTCTCTCAAGCTATATGATACAGATACTCGAGCTTTAGAACAGCCGTCGACGAAATCTAGCACCACCGCCGCCTGGGCCGCTTCCTTCCTCTTCAAACTCATCAAACGCGTCTTCTGGATCCACGTCTTTCGCTGGCTGGTTACGCAGGTACCGAAACGGTGGATCTCCCATGGACGAGTATGGTAAGAGTCCCAGCGATCGAGCTGTTTTGATTTCTCGAGCGATTCTCCTTTGGGACTTCAGGCTGATGCTCGTCTATAACAAACGCCAAAACACAAGTTTAAACAATGGAAGAAAGATGAGGCACTAGATTCTTACGGTTTTTCTCGGAAGTATTCTCGACGTCTCGGACAGGAAAAGAGAGAGGAACTTTATGTTCTGCACCCATGCAAAGAATGAAACAGTGCTTTAGAACAAGAAAGTGTAAGCTACTGAAATACCCGGAAGTCGGCTGCTGCAAGGACCTCGTTCTTTTTCATAACTTTCTTCTGCCGTTGTGGCATCTCTGTTGGATCGCTGGAGGCGATCCTGGTAACATCAAAATCCTAAAATGAGAGGACATGAGAACAGAAGAAAAACTAAGAGAACACCAAAATATAAAAACTAGAAACGAATGAAGAAACAAACCTCCGGCTCGATAGTTTGTCCGGGAAAGTAGACCCTGTCTGGTCTCAGCTGATATGGCTTGGTAAAGTCGTCCCTTCCCATTCCTGGAAGATTCAATAGCCCTTTCGGAGTCACAAACTTCTGGAGCTCCTCGCTCCAAAAGACCGCGTCGTCTTGATCCAGCATCGACTCGTGGTTTTCCGGATCAACATCGTCGTCGAACGGCACATTCTCTTCGTCGTAGCCCCGCTGCGTCATCAAGCTGTCCCTCCGCTCCTTTCGATCGGCACCCTTCTCTATCCGGGTCAGTTCCTGGAGGAAGTCATCCTCCTCCGGCCGCTCCTCAGCGGAAGCCTGCTGTTCTGTGCTCCCGGAACTCTCCTCGGGAAAGTCATGGAAATCGGTTTCTTCTTCCTCGCCTCCAGCATTCCCGAGAACGTACTTCTCGAAGTCCTCAATAGCTCGCTTAGAACCACCACCACCTGGAAAATGGCCAAGCGCTTTTGATCCCTCTATACTAAAACTCTGTTCCATACCTCCCGCCTTGGTAGCCATCCAAGCTCTCGAGAGCTTGGACCCCGCCAGCGGCGTCGTCTTCCATTGCGGCCCCTCCTCCGCGATACTGCTCGAGGCAAAAGTCTGGAAAACGCAAAGACAAGGCCTACATTCATCAGCAAAGTACCCTAATCACGCCCCGCGGCCGCACTGACCTGAGAATAAAGCGGCGAGGACGATCTCCAGCTCCAGAGCTTGGACGCGACGCGCCCCAAGCGCCAGCGCCCCATCACCGATCACCGCATTTCCTGCTTAAACCCTATACATTTCGTATAAACCCTAACTGGTCTCTTCGTGACTCGAACCACAGACATCCCGAACAAAAAATGATGGTATTAATTGTCCAATGTGGAAGGCTATGATCAATTTGTTAGATATGTGCGCCATGTATATACTGCAAATCTGGAAGATAGTTGACAGGCCTAAAATGTTGTAAAGTTTTTATATAATGCAAAGCCACTGTGGATGATATTGTCTTTGGAATCCTTTGCTTCTTGACGCTGTGCCACCATATAAACAGTATATGAATCACTGTGCCATGTTTGGCATGTTTCTCATGTATTGTTGATGCCCTGTGATAAATCTCCAAGGAAAGAAAAGTCTCGAAAGAGTGGATTGGATGATAATGGCCGTGCCTTCTCTCTATCGTCTCCATATTCTGGAGCAGCTCCACGCCTGTATTCTACTTGCCTCAAATTCGCTGCTCGCTGCCATTGCAGTGGACACCCAGACTATGTCTCCGTCTCCAAACAGGCAAACGATTGGGCACTTGGCTTCCTCAAAATCACCACCAATGCCGATAAGAAAGCCTTCACTCAATGGAGGATCCCACTCTTTGGCACCTTCACCGTGCCTTGGAGCGACTCCAGGCCCGCCTGGCTCATCACCATTCTCGACGATACTGTTCTTGCGGCGAGACAAGCCTACACCAAAAACGTGGACGGGTCCAAAACATGTTGGCATACAAGTGTTTGATCTATAAGACTAGATCGTGGCTATTAGTAAAACATATAAAAAACTCATCTGAGCCTCGCCTCCGGTGAAAGATCCATCGCCCAAGTTCCCAACAAGCCCGTGCTCGTCGCCCAGGCCGAGCTCGTCGCGGATCTGCGGGAGCTCATGTCGCCGCTCCTCTTCCAGAGGCTCCTCGCCTCGTACAGGAAATTTGTCGGCTGTTACTCTGCCAAAGTCGACGAAGAGGAGTTCATGAAAGAGAAGATGTTTGGATCCATAAGTCAATGTTGAAGAAGAACGCGATGGAATTTGGCAACCGCGACTTTCTTGCGTACCTTCGAGCGATTCCGGCTTTTATCCCTGGAAATCTACATTGTCACTACCTCACTTTTTATTAAGTCATTTGGATGCTCTATATATTTAGTAACACATTTAATATATACTCTGATTTTATCAATAAATTGTACAATGGCTATTGACTACAATTTTTATAACATCATCAAAGAACTTATTTTCTCTTTAGTTTTAAAAAGAAAAGTATTCTTTTATATTCGAACAAGATGATTCGTTTGTCAGTTGAGATCCATTTAGTACTTCTTATGGAGATTGATTCCTTCTTTAAGAAATTTTGGCAAAAAGGAATGATGGTAGCAGCACATCAAGTTTGAATGCTATAACAGTAAGTCATTCAAGAAAGAGTGTGCAAGCAAGCAGGAAGAATTAGATAGTCTTCTGTTAAGATTACAAAGCAAAAGGTTTTGCCTTCTTCAATGCTCTTTCGGCTGCTACCAAAGTTGCCATCTCTTTGCAAAAAGCTACTCTCACGTAGCGATTCTCATAACCAAGTTCGTTCGATCGAAAGAAAGCGGAGCCAGGAACTAGTGCAACTCCAGCGCGGTTTATTAGATCCGTGACAAACTCTATCTGAACAAAACAATTCAAAGAACTGAGCTGAGTGAAAATCCGGGGGCTTACATCGTTTTGCTTCATAGCATCCGGCAACCTTGCAAAGACGAAAAACGATCCCTGAGCCGCAAACGGTACCTCAAAACCAGCTTCAACTAGGACTTTCTTTATGTATTCGCCTCTTTCCCGGTAGCACTGCACACAAAGTACAAAGACTGTCGGAAACAAAACAAAATTTTCATGAATCTTACATTTTTGAGCTTTGCATAGAAATCGTGACTGCTCTGCAACGCGACCAAAGCCGCCACTTGGAAAGGTGAAGGAGCGGAATCCGTAAGCTTGACGTGTATGTTTCTTATGGCAGACGCCAGCTGAATCGGTGCTATAGCCCAGCCAACACGCCACCCTTCACGGAATAGGTAGAATAGCAGCAAGAATTACGCATCTTGACATCCATACCAGTCACCGAGTATGTCTTTGAAATCGAAGAGGTGACTATCGTCCTCTCGAGCATGCCTGGCAGTGATGCAATACTCACGTGTGTTGCTCCAGGAAACACTATGTGCTCGTACACCTGTTAAAAATGCGTAACCCATGGAAAGATCCTTTCTCTACTACCTCGTCTGTTATAGCAAGTAGATCGTGCTTACAACAGAGCTGCGCTATCTCTTTAAGTTCCTCTATCGCAAAAACCTTTCCAGTCGGATTGTGAGGGCTGCCACAATCGCATACCGAGTCAAGAACACAAGGAAAGCCACTCGAGATACCTGTTAATCACAATCGCCTTGGTTCTAGAGGTGATGCTCCTTTCGAGCTTCTCTGAATCCAACGTCCACAGCGGAGGCGTTAAAGGCACGAAAACCTGCATGGCAACAGAGAAGGAAAGTATATTAGCAATGAAGATTCATCAGCCAGTTGGCTTAACTGGCTTGCCTCCAGCCATTATGATGCAAGATTCGTACGTCTCATAGACCGGTTCCAAGAGAATCACTTCGTCGTCACGATCAACAACTAAAAGAAGAGGACCAAGAGTGAAAAAGAAGATCTGTTCGAACTCACCAGCGAAAGTCGCGGCAGCGAGAGCTTCCGATTGACCGCAGCAAAGCACAATGCCGGACTTGGAGTCAACCTTCACACCCTGGAAATGCTCAAAATGCTCGGCCACTTTGTCGCAAACACCTTGTACATGCCTTGTGAAAAAGAAATGTAAGAAACCATGCAAAACGAGCTCCCAAACCACCTGTACTGATTGAAGTCTGCTCCAATGGCATCCCTTGCGGCCTCCTTCACCTCTGGCGGAGCTGGGAAATCTGGAAACCCTGGAAAACCTCTCCGCTAGAACACAAACACCCGAGAATATCAGTTTTACCTTCCGCTAGATTGATCGCATTGCGCTGCTGAGCGAGATGCGAGAGCTTCTGTATCGGTGACGGCTTGAACGACCGTGTCCTGTGCGCTAGCCAGCGGCAAAAACCCTCCTCTTCCATGAGAAGATGTGGTTATTTAATGAGGTTCATGGAGTCGTACTAACAGGACCTACAGGCCTCTAACAGCTATACAAGAGCTCTTCCTCACGTTTATATCGCTGGTCACACCTCAATAGAGAGATCAAATGTCACGTTTATCTCGCTGGTCACACCTCAATAGAGAGATCAAATGTCACTAGGCCTCAATAAAGGAGGGGCTTAAGCTCGTTCTTCTCCAGAGTGAATGCGAATGGCCGCGCCTTCTATCTGTCGTCCCCAAATTCTTGAGCAGCTCCTCGCCTGCAAGAGCATCTACTTGCCTCAAATTCGCTGCTCGCTGCCATTGCAGTGCCACCCAGACTACGCCTCCGTCTCCAGACAGGCGAACGATTGGGCCTTTCGCTTCCTCAAGATCAATGCCACCAATGCCGCTGCCGATAAGAAATACTTCACCCAGTGGAGGATGCCACTCTACGGCACCTTTGTTGTGCCTTGGGGCAACTCCAGGCACGCTCTAGCGGCCGCCAAGTACACCTGGCTCATCACCATTCTCGACGATGCTGTCGACGAGGAGCCTTCGCAGCGGGACGAGATCCTGGAAGCTTACATGAGCCTTGCCTCCGGTCAAAGATCCATCGCCCAAGTTCCCAACAAACCCGTGCTCGTCGCCCAAGCCGAGCTCGTCCCGGATCTGCGGAAGCTCATGTCGCCGCTCCTCTTCCAGCGGCTGCTCGTCTCGTACAGGAAATTTGTTGGCTGCTACTCGGCCAAAGTCGACGAAGAGGAGTTCACGAAAGAGTCTTACGCTGTGCATCGCCGGGAGGACTACGTTGTCAAGCCGATGCTTAACTTCACGCAGATGTGCCTGGGAGTCGAGCTGAGAGACAAGGATCTGGAAAGCGAGGAGTACCTCCGGGCAATAGATGCCATGTTTGATCATATGTGGCTGGTGAACGACATCTTTTCATTCCCAAAGGAGCTGAGGAAGAAAACTTTCAAGAACATAATTTTTCTCTTGCTCTTCACGGACCACACCGTTCGCTCTGTTCAACAGGCAGTTGATAAGGCGAACGCCATGATTCAGGAAAAAGAACAAGAATTCATGTATTACCACGAGATCCTGACGAGGAAAGCGATGGAATCTGGCAACCACGACTTTCTGGCGTACCTTAGAGCGATTCCGGCTTTCATCCCTGGAAATCTACGTTGGCACTACCTCGCAGCTCGGTACCACGGTGTTGATAATCCATTTGTAACAGGAGAGCCATTCAGTGGGACTTGGTTGTTTCATGATACACAGACTATCATACTCCCCGAGTACAAACCAACTCATCCCCATCTGCAAGTTTGAATGAAAAGGCCATGAAAAATAAAACATAAAGTTTCCTGTTAAGATGCAGAGCAAGCAAAAGAGTTTCGGCTACTACCAAAGTTCACAAAAAGCTACCTGATTCTCATAACCAAAGAACACAGACTGCAACTCCAGCAGGTCCATGATAAACTCTACTTGAAACCAACTCAGTAAGGAAATTGAGCTTACATTGTTCTGCATTAACCTTGCAAACATGAAAACCTTGATTTTTTCATGAAAGTGAAAAGGCCTCAATCTAGTTAATTGTAAGTTTTTTGAATATTGCCACACAAAATTATTTATTATTTATAAATGAATAAATTTTGCATTCTAGTTCAGTCATTTAATTATGTTTTTGACCATTTAACCTCAATTTAGGGCATTTGCTAGCTTTATATGTGTTCTCACGATTATATTGACCTCACACTTGGTCTAAGTGTTTCACATGTAAAATCCTACATGAAGGTTATATACATTTTTAATATTTCCAAGACCATTTGTACCACAATCTCATTTTTCCAAACTAGGCCATCTATTTATGAGTAGTCATCCAATGACTATATCTTAGCATCTTTAAGATGTCTCAAGACATAAAGAACACCATTCTCTAATATTCATTTTTCGATCCCCACCAAGTTTATTTTCATTTATGGCAATGCTTATTAACACCACCACTGGTCTAGGGTTTAAAGACCCATCCATTAAATTCCATTAACTTTTAGAACTTCTTCACTATGTAATCATATTTTTAATCACTAAGCAAAAAAATTACTCCTTTTCCATTCTATAATCTAGGATTTTAGAATGACATTTTGAAACATTGTGACATAACATGAGTTTCATTGTGGCATAACATGAGTTTCATGGGTACTCCCCCCACCTTCCACCACTAGAGTGCTCTAGCCATGTAACTAAAACTAGGTTCTAATGAGCTACATAAGGTATCCAAGTAAGTATTGCAAGCATCAATCATTTCATCTTTTGGGGGGAGCAATTAATTTTTGAACACGTCACTAAATTACCCCACTCGTCTATTTATATTCACATGGGTTATATTAAGTGTAGCTTTCCTTGGTCACATTAGCCTTTTTTGGCCAAACTAATTCCATAAACCTCTCTTACTATGTATTGTATAAATAGATAACTAAAGATAGTTTTCTATTTCACTTTTGCAAATTATAGCCTATGTAATCATAGTATTCCAAAAGCAAAGTTTCAAAGAGCTCTCTCCAAACTTGAGTCTCAACATGCATTGATATTCCTTATATCTTGCAAAACTACTTCACAAAAGCATCAAGTGGTGTAAATAAATTGGCCAGTAAGTTGTGTGAAGGACATTGGAGCATATCACAAATATCATATTGTGTCATCTCTTGAATAAAAGCATTTATCTAGTACACACTACTCTATTCTAAACACTCTGATAGCTTAAACTTGATATCCATGATCTTTATAATCTTCACGCAAGGTTCTTAATGTTAGCCACCTAGAGTCTGAATGGAGACATTTTAGCTATGAAAAACTTCAAAGAAATAAATCTTACTGATGGCTCAGTTGGCAATGCATAAGCTACCACCTCTCAATAGCAATCCATCATTAGACCTTCAAAAGATGTTAAGGAGCCCATCAAGAGAGTGTAGTGCTAGGGGCTAGAAAATCTACTTGTCAAGTGTTGTCTAGACACTAGTGTGGCAAATGTATCAAATTGTGACTAAAAAAAACCATTAAAAAGTGAGCATTGCAAATAGGAAACACAAAAAGTTAACCACTCACATACATCCTTTTGAGAGTTGGAGTTGACCATGTTGGTGTGTGCTTGGTGATGTTATGTGGCCTTAAAAAAGAAGATGGTCTAGGAGTATGCAAGCCAATGCGTGTGTTGGTATTCAATCAAGAGATTTGAAATTGTGTATATTGTTATTATTGTTGTTGCTACTGTTGCTCACATTAATCATGTTGGACAAGTGTGAAAGAAAACCTCCAATTAGAAGAAGGATGGGAATGGGATGTAGACTGTATATGGGTGAGAGGGTTTTTTATAATCATTCTCTAAACTTGCTCATGTGCTAAGGCATAACAACAATAGAGCATTACCCACATTTGGAGGATCCCTCCTTTAGGTTTCCCCTCTTTTCATCATTTTTAACCCATGTGCCTAAAACAAAAGAAAAGCAATGAAAATGCTAGAACACCTACATGATGAAGATAGCAGGAGAATAAAAGGCAAAAGTGTAATCATAATTACACCAAACCCTAAACAGGGGTGGCCCTAACCCTAGATTATTGTCATAATAAAATGAAATTAGACTATATTAAAATAAAATAAAAGTGTGAGAGCCAAGTGTACGGCTACAATGCCATATATCGCTCCAGTCAGATTGTCAGATTGAGGGCTGACCGAGTCCAGGACACAAGGAAAGCTACTCAAGATACCTGTTAATCACAATCGCCTTGGTTCTAGAGGTGATGCTCCTTTTGAGCTTCTCTGAATCCAACGTCCACAGCAGAGGCGTTAAAGGCACGAAAACCTGTATGGCAACAGAGAAGGAAAGTATATTAGCGATGAAGATTCATCAGCCAGTTGGCTCAACTGGCTTGCCTCCAGCCATTATGATGCAAGATTCGTACGTCTCATAGACCGGTTCCAAAAGAATCACTTCGTCGTCACGATCAACAACTAAAAGAAGAGGACCAAGAGTGAAAATGAAGATCTGTTCGAACTCACTAGCGAAAGTCACGGCAGCGAGAGCTTCCGATTGACCGCAGCAAAGCACAATGTCGGACTTGGAGTCAACCTTCACACCCTGGAAATGCTCAAAATGCTCGGCCACTTTGTTGCAAACACCTTGTACATGCCTTGTGAAAAAGAAATGTAAGAAACCATGCAAAACGAGCTCCCAAACCACCTGTACTGATTGAAGTCTGCTCCAATGGCATCCCTTGCGGCCTCCTTCACCTCTGGCGGAGCTGGGAAATCTGGAAACCCTGGGAAACCTCTCCGCTAGAACACAAACACCCGAGAATATCAGTTTTACCTTCCGCTAAGTTGATCGCATTGCGCTGCTGAGCGAGATGCGAGAGCTTCTGGATCGGTGACGGCTTGAACGACCGTGTCCTGTGCGCTAGCTCCTCTTCCATGAGAAGATGTGGTTATTTAATGAGGTTCATGGAGTCGTACTAACGACCTACAGGTCTCTAACAGCTATACAACAGCTCTTCGTCACGTTTATCTCGCTGTTCACCCCTCAATAGGGAGATCAAATGTCACAAGGCCTCAATAAAGCAGGGCCCTTAGCTCTTTCTTCTCCAGAGTGAATGATAATGGCCGCGCCTTCTATCTATCGTCTCCAAATTCTGGAGCAGCTCCTCGCCTGCAAGAGCATCTACTTGCCTCAAATTCGCTGCTCGCTGCCATTGCAGTGCCACCCAAACTACGTCTCCGTCTCCAAACAGGCGAACGATTGGGCCTTTCGCTTCCTCAAGATCAATGCCACCAATGCCGCTGCCGATAAGAAATACTTTACCCAGTGCAGGACGCCACTCTACGGCACCTTTGTTGTGCCTTGGGGCGACTCCAGGCACGCTCTAGCGGCCGCCAAGTACACCTGGCTCATCACCATTCTCGACGATGCTGTCGACGAGGAGCCTTCGCAGCGGGACGAGATCCTGGAAGCTTACATGAGCCTTGCCTCCGGTCAAAGATCCATCGCCCAAGTTCCCAATAAGCCCGTGCTCGTCGCCCAAGCCGAGCTCGTCCCAGATCTGCGGAAGCTTATGTCGCCGCTCCTCTTCCAGCGGCTGCTCGTCTCGTACAGGAAATTTGTTGGCTGCTACTCGGCCAAAGTCGACGAAGAGGAGTTCACGAAAGAGTCTTACGCTGTGCATCGCCGGGAGGACTTCGTTGTCAAGCCGATGCTTAACTTCACGCAGATGTGCCTCGGAGTGGAGCTGAGAGACAAGGATCTGGAAAGCGAGGAGTACCTCCGGGCGATAGATGCCATGTTTGATCACATCTGGCTGGTGAACGACATCTTTTCATTCCCAAAGGAGCTGAGGAAGAAAACTTTCAAGAACATAATTTTTCTCTTGCTCTTCACGGACCACACCGTTCGCTCTGTTCAACAGGCAGTCGATAAGGCGAACGCCATGATTCAGGAAAAAGAACAAGAATTCATGTATTACCACGAGATCCTGACGAGGAAAGCGATGGAATCTGGCAACCACGACTTTCTGGCGTACCTTAGAGCGATTCCGGCATTCATCCCTGGAAACCTACGTTGGCACTACCTCACAGCTCGGTACCACGGTGTTGATAATCCATTTGTAACAGGAGAGCCATTCAGTGGGACTTGGTTGTTTCATGATACGCAGACTATCATACTCCCCGAGTACAAACCAACTCATCCCCATCTGCAAGTTTGAATGAAAAGGCCATGAAAAATAAAACATAAAGTTTCCTGTTAAGATGCAGAGCAAGCAAAAGAGTTTCCGCTACTACCAAAGTTCACAAAAAGCTACCCGACTCTCATAACCAAAGAACACAGAGCCAGGAACTAGTGCAACTCCAGCAGATCCATGACCCAGTAAGGAAACCGAGCTTACATCGCTTTGCAATAACCTTGCAAACACGAAGAACTCATGAAAGTGCAAAGGCCTCAATCTTGTCAACGGTAAGCCTTTTGAATATTGATGAATATTTCAAATAAGAAAAGTATGAAAAGAAGAAGCCACGCTAACTTTGTAAGTTTACAAAATTATTTATTATTTGTAAGCAACTGGATTTTTTTATTCTACTTTAGTTATTTAACCATTTGGAAGAGTTATACTCAAAACCTCTATAAGTTTTCATTTCAATTGCTATATGCTTTATAATAAATTGCCATTAAAGTCCTGTAAAGCCATCTTCAAAACTTAGTAGCGACAAGTGATTACCAAGTTTTCTAGTATCTCCTTCACTACCTTCTTTTCATCTATAATTTGGAGACTTACAATGGCTTACACCATGTTCACTCTATCCTAAATTCAAGGAGCACACAACTTCAAGTTCATTTCACAAAGGCTATCTCATAATAGCTTTTTGTTGCATGGATCTAGAATCTTCTTTGCAACCATTGTTAGTGTAGTTATATTACACAATCAAGAGATTTATGTTTGAGCTTCAAAACATTTGAACAATAGCCAACTAATAAACATGGCCTATAAAAAAGTATAGCTAAAAGATCTTAATATATTCAACTTATAATTCATACCATTTTTTGATCAGCTTCTTGTAAAGTCATCTGAGATTGGAGTTTGTTTGGATGCCAATATGAGGCATCATCGGCAAACACACAAACTTGACTTTCTTGGAAAAGCAAATCAAGTGTTATTCACATTTCTTGGTATTTGCTATAATGTCCCATGGAATGCATTTTGTCGTAGGCATTTGGCATAAATGGTTCTCATTTCCCACACAATTGCTATAGCAATATCACATGCATACTTCACTTAAAATTGAGGAGTATGACAATCTAGTTTTAAAAGAGGCTTCAGGTGTGAGAACTTATTATTTACCACTATCTAGGAAATAAAAGACTTTTAATTGAAGCAAAAGTATATAGAATATATACATTCACCAACTCCAACTTAAGTTTTCTCCTAGCCTCTTGGTATGAACACAACACTATATGCTCCACTAGGAAATATAAACATTGGTTATACTTTGTTCCAGAACTTTAAAAAACCTTAATAGCTTGTCTATGATATCCTTGTTTAGTTGAAAATGCCTGTATTGTTATACTACAATCTTTCCAAGTACCAATGTCTTGCAGTCTATATAATAGCATAATCATTTGGATCACATGAGTTTTCCACCACAACATTAATACCTCCATCACAGAAAAGAGCTTTATAGTCAGCCTCCACAATATTTGTTTGCATTATCACTCTTGCTAAGATAATATTGCATTTTTATTGAGAACCCAATATAGAAAAGAGCTCCTTGTAAGCCACTATCTCCACTATGCTCTACATCTCCCATTCCATACTACCCAAGGACCTTAGTTTTCAACCATATTACCATGGCTATTATGTTGTCATCATGGGATTCCAAGGTAATGATCTCCATAACTCTTGTTGCATGTTCAATAGCACTAATCTCCTCTACTTATAGCAATTAAAATCTTATGTTCGCTTGTGACACTATCTAAACTTTTTGTATGTCCTACTTACACACTTGCAACCAATTGTCTTGTATACATTTAAACCTATATATACAATTGTTAGAAAGACATACAACAAAACATATGAAAAACTTACTTTGGTACATCTTTAGCCTCTAGAAGATATATTAAATCTGTAAATGGTTGCATGTCACTCTTATCATAAACTAGAACCAAATGTGATGAATCTTCTTCTGTTCGATCATCTTCACTATCAGAAATGAGAAGTAGTTGACTTATGGAAAAGTATCAAGGATGGAAGCAATAGAAAACAACATTTTTTACATGAACTAGATATTAGAATAAATGGTGGAAATTCTAGTATGTTTTTTATTTCTTTTAGTTCTCATCTAGATACGAGTTATCTTTTTCATCTTTTATATTGTCCTTGCCAACATCAATAACCACCTCCTCATTGCATTATTGGTGTTGAATATCTTGCAAGCTAATATCTTCTTCTTACAGAATTTGATTGAAAACATTGCCTGGTGTTAGAGATGGCATCTTGCCACTGGTATATACACTTATAAGAAAGAAATGACAATATTAATATAATGATAAATTCTACAAAGAAAAAAAAAACCATAAGCATTTTTCTCTCACTGCCAAGACGTATATGTTTGTTTTTGGTAGTGTGTGTGTCAAGTGTTAGCTTGTGTTGTATAGATAAATGACCGAAAATGGTTTTTTATTGCTTTTGTTGCAAATTGTAACCCATGCAATCATAACATTCCAAAAGCAAGACTTTAGAGAGCTCTCTCTAAACTTGAGAGTCTCAACATGCACTAATGTTCTTTGCATCTTGCAAAATTGCTTCACAAAGGCATTAAGTAGTGTAAATTGATTGACTAGTAGGTTGTGTGGAGGATGTTGGAGCATGTCATAAATGCCATATTGTGCCATCTCTGACATAAAAGTATTTATCCAGTAAATGCCTCCCCATTCCAAGCACTCTAATATATACATAATCTTTGTAATCTTCATGCAAGGTTTCCTAAGCTATATTCATGGTATGCAATTGAAATAGTGATACACTTAGAGTATAGCATTATCGTCAATGGCTAAAGTACTCTCCTTGGAAGAGTTTTCATGGGGGGATTTGCTACATTTCTTGCCACTTTGGGGTGCTAGAGACTAGAGGTTGTTTGCTGCATGTTGTTGAACATAGCAAGTGATAGAGTCTGCATAGAGATATTTTAGCTATGAAAAACTTTAAAGAAATAAACATTATTGATGGCTCATGTGGCAATACACAAGCTGCCACCTCTTGATAGCAATCCATCATTGGATCTTTAGAAGATGTTAAAGAGTCTGTCAAGAGAGTGTAGTGTCAAAGGCTTCCAAAAAATCTACTTGCTGAGCATTGTCTAGACACTAATGTAATAAATGTATTGAGTTGTGACTAGGAAAAACAACTAGAGAGTGAGCATTGTAAATAGGAAACACAAAAAGCTAACCACTCACATGCATCCCTTTGGGAGTTAGAGTTGATTATGTTGGTGTGTGTTCGGTGATGTTGTGTGGTTTTACAAAAGATGGTCCAAGAGTATGTGAGCTGATGCATGTGTTAGCACTCAGTCAAGGGATTTGAGCTGTGACAAGTTGCATATATTATTATTGTTATTGCTACTACTATTGATTGCATTGATTATGTTGGATAGGTGTGAAGGAAGAGCTCCAGCTAGAAGAAGGATAGGAATGAAACATAGACAATCTCTATGATCATTCTCTTGACTTACTCATGCGCTAAGGCACAACAAGAATAAAGCATTATCCACATTTGGAGGATCCCTTCTTTGGGTTTCCCCTTTTCTCGTCATTTTCACCCCACATGCTTGGAATAAAAGAAAATCAATGAAAATATGGTTTGCATGGGACTAAGATCACTTAGCCTTACCATGTTGTGTGGAGATAGTGAGAGAACACCAAATTGGGGCAAAAAATGGCTTCCTCTAAATTATAACCTCATAAGAATTTTAAAATTAAATTAGAATGAAATTAACTGTTCTTAATTAAAATAGAATAAAAATTTAATAATAATTAAAATAAGATAAGAATTTTCCATTTTATTATCATTATAAGACACACAAGAATAGAAATCAGAAATTATTTATGATGATAAATGAAAATGTAATAATAAAAGAAACTTAAGATTGTATTAGTATCACTATACTATAAACCCTTATATCCTTAATAAAGAGATCCAGGTGTTATTATATAAGTTAAATCATACTTTAATTTAAATATTTTTGGCCCTTTTATTTGTATTTGCTAGTTTTGGTGGTATTTGTTTAGCCTTGCAAAGCTAGATATATGCTGGTATGCATTTGGCTTAACAAAGTTAGAACATGCTTAGAGGGTAAAGAACTTGATTGTGAGCTTGGATAAATGTCTTGCTTTTATGGATAGTACTTCCTTCAATGGGCTTTTATATAGGAGTGATCCATTAACTAAAGAGATATTGGTCTATATAGAGTTGGTGAAGCACAACTCTAGTAGTGAAGCATTAATAGTTATTAGTTGTGCCAATTTGAAAATTCACTTCTTGGTTAAAGATATGAAGCTTATTTATTAAAAGCAAGAGGTATATATCCACCTCTGAATCCTAGACAAGTAGCTTTGTGTGAGCCTTGTAGGGTCATATATAACTAAAAAGCTTCACAAATTTGACATCAGATAAAACAGTATTTTGCTGTTCAACAGCTTGAATCATTCATAATTCCCATGTAGTACCTTTACATGGCAATATTAGTGCAAACATGATGAAGTACCTCTAATATTCTATTGTATATACCTCTCCAATTTACATCAACAAACCTCATATATTTGTATAATGTTAGCTTTTAAATCTGTAAATAAGATGTCAAGTAATCCATTGTTTTGGTCTCACAAATTGTCAAGTGCATCCACAAATAAAAAGTAGTTATATTGTTAAAAACCTCTAAAATCCAAGAAATGTTGGAATTCCTCAAATGCTTAAGAATTTACATAAAATTATATACCTCTATTTTAGTTCCTTGTTATCAGATATTGAAGAAGAGTCGGGATAGATTGTCCATTTATCCCTTCTTGCTCTTCCATGAGACCTGACAAAATTCTCAAGCAAAAAAATGTCATTATTTATAATTAAAAAATTGACAATAGAAACTTCCTCATGTTTATTACACTTGACTGTATATATTACATGTCAAAACCTCCTTATAAATCTTGTCATCAAGAGAAAATACAACCATCTAACTGTTTCAATTGTGAATCACTTTTGTTATTGCTTTTTCAGTACCAATACTAACTGCACCATGGCACCCTATCCAACGAGAGGCAGTCCTCCCCTCAAAATGACAGGAGTCATGGTCCATACCATGGGATGTGCAAAATATGACCACTGAAACCATCACATTGGGTGCCCATCGGATGTCCATAATAGCAACATAATTATGGTGGCCGAATGAATGTCACCACGTGGCGGACGCAATATTCTGCAGTACGGACTTTTTCACGCTACATCGGTTTGCGAATAACACGCCAGGCCGAAACAGCATACTAACAGCTATACGACAGCTCTTCCTCATCCTAATGGGCTCTTATCTCGCTGTTCACACCTCAATAGTTTAAGAGATCGCCTCAATAGAGGTTCTCCAGAGTGGATGATAATGGCCGCGCCTTCTATCTATCGTCCCCAAATTCTGGAGCAGCTCCTCGCCTGCAAGAGCATCTACTTGCCTCAAATCCGCTGCTCGCTGCCATTGCAGTGCCACCCAGACTACGCCTCCGTCTCCAGACAGGCGAACGATTGGGCCTTTCGCTTCCTCAAGATCAATGCCACCAATGCCGCTGCAGAGAAGAAATGCTTCACCCAGTGGAGGACGCCACTCTACGGCACCTTCGTTGTGCCTTGGGGCGACTCCAGGCACGCTCTAGCGGCCGCCAAGTACACCTGGCTCATCACCATTCTCGACGATGCTGTCGACGAGGAGCCTTCGCAGCGGAACGAGATCCTGGAAGCTTACATGAGCCTTGCCTCCGGTCAAAGATCCATCGCCCAAGTTCCCAACAAGCCCGTGCTCGTCGCCCAAGCCGAGCTCGTCCCAGATCTGCGGAAGCTTATGTCGCCGCTCCTCTTCCAGCGGCTGCTCGTCTCGTACAGGAAATTTGTTGGCTGCTACTCGGACGAAGAGGAGTTCACGAAAGAGTCTTAACGCTGTGCATCGCCGGGAGGACTTCGTTGTCAAGCCGATGCTTAACTTCACGCAGATGTGCCTCGGAGTGAAGCTGAGAGACAAGGATCTGGAAAGCGAGGAGTACCTCCGGGCGATAGATGCCATGTTTGATCACATCTGGCTGGTGAACGACATCTTTTCATTCCCAAAGGAGCTGAGGAAGAAAACTTTCAAGAACATAATTTTTCTCTTGCTCTTCACGGACCACACCGTTCGCTCTGTTCAGCAGGCAGTCGATAAGGCGAATGCCATGGTTCAGGAAAAAGAACAAGAATTCATGTATTACCACGAGATCCTGACGAGGAAAGCGATGGAATCTGGCAACCACGACTTTCTGGCGTACCTTAGAGCGATTCCGGCATTCATCCCTGGAAACCTACGTTGGCACTACCTCACAGCTCGGTACCACGGTGTTGATAATCCATTTGTAACAGGAGAGCCATTCAGTGGGACTTGGTTGTTTCATGATACGCAGACTATCATACTCCCCGAGTACAAACCAACTCATCCCCATCTGCAAGTCTGAATGAAAAGGCCATGAAAAATAAAACATATAGTTTCCTGTTAAGATGCATACCAAGCAAAAGAGTTTCGGCTACTACCAAAGTTCACAAAAAGCTACCCATTCTCATAACCAAAGAACACAGAGCCAGGAACTAGTGCAACTCCAGCAGATCCATGATAAACTCTACCTGAAACCAACCCAGTAAGGAAACCAAGCTTACATAGTTTTGCAATAACCTTGCAAACATGAAGAACTTGATTTTTTCATGAAAGTGCAAAGGCCTCAATCTGGTCAACGGTAAGCCTTTTGAATATTGATGAATATTTCAAATAAGAAAAGTATGAAAAGAAGAAGCCACGCTAATTTTGTAAGTTTACAAAATATTTATTATTTGTAAGCAACTGGATTTTTTTATTCTACTTTAGTTATTTGGAAGAGTCATACTCAAAACTTCTATAAGTTTTCATTTCAATTTAGACAATTCTTATATGCTTTATAATAAATTGCCATTAAAGTCCTTTAAAGCCATCTTCAAAACTTAATAGCGATGAGTGATTGCCAAGTTTTTTAATATCTCTTTCACTACCTTCTTTTCATCTATAATTTAGAGACTTACAATGGCTTACACCATGTTCACTCCATCCTAAATTCAAGGGGCACATAACTTCAAGTTCATTTCACAAAGGTTATCTCATAATAGCCTTCTGTTGCATGGATCTAGGATCTCCTTTGCAACCATTGTTAGTGTAGTTATACTACACAATCAAGAGATTTATGCTTGAGCTTCAAAACATTTGAATAATAGCTAACTAATAAACATGGCCTATAAAAAAGTATAGCTAAAAGATCTTAATATATTCAACTTGTAATTCATACCATTTTTTTATCAGCTTCTTGTAAAGTCATCTAAGATGAGTTTGTTTGGATGCCAATATGAGGCACCATCGGCAAACACACAAACTTGATTTTCTTGGAAAAGCAAATCAAGTTTTATTCACATTTCTTGGTACTTGCCACAATGTCCCATGGAATGCATTTTGTCATAGGCCTCTGGCATAAATGGTTCTCATTTCCCACACAATTGCCGTAGCAATATCACATGAGAATTAAAGAGTATGACAATCTAGTTTGAAAATAGGCTTCAGGCATGAGAACTTATTATTTACTGCTATCTAGGAAATAAAAGACTTTTAATTGAAGCAAAAGTATATAGAATATATACATTCACCAACTCCAACTTAAGTTTTCTTCTAGCCTCTTGGTATGGACATAACACTATGTGCTCCACTAGGAAATATAAAAATTGGCTATACTTTGTTCCAGAACTTTAAAAAACCTTAATAGCTTGTCTATGATATCCTTGTTTAGTTGAAAATGCCTGTATTGTTATACTACAATCTTTCCAAGTACCAATGTCTTGTAGTCTGTATAATAGCATAATCATTTGGATCACATGAGTTTTCCACTACAATATTAATACCTCCATCACAGAAAAGAGCTTTACAGTCAGCCTCCACAATATTTGTTTGCATTGCCACTCTTGCTAATATAATATTGTATTTTCATTGAGAACCCAATATAGAAAAGAGCTCCTTGTAAGCCACTATCTCCACTATGCTTTACATCTCCCATTCCATACTACCCAAGGACTTTAGTCTTCAACCATATTACCATGGGTATCATGTTGTCATCATGGGATTCCAAGGTAGTGATCTCCATAACTCTTGTTGCATGTTCAATAGTACTAATCTCCTCTACTTGTAGCAATTGGAATCTTATGTTTGCTTGTGACACTACCTAAACTTTTTGTATATACTGCTTACACACTTGCAACCAATTGTCTTGTATACATTCAAACTTATATACACAATTGGTCAACAAAACATATGAAAAGCTTACTTTGGCACATCTTTAGCCTCTAGAAGATATATTAAATCCGTAAGTGGTTACATGTCACTTTTATCATAAATTGGAACCAGATATGATGAATCTTCTTCTGTTCGATTATCTTCACTATCACAAATGAAAAGCAGTTGAGTTATGGAGAAGTATCAAGGATGGAGGCAATATAAAACAACATTTTTTACATGAATTAGATATTGGAACAAGTGCTAGAAATTTGGTATGTTTTTTATTTCTTTTAGTTCTTCATCTAGATACAAGTTATCTTCTTCATCTTTTATATTGTCCTTGCCAACATCAATAACCACCTCCTTATTGCATTATTGGTGTTGAATATCTTGCAAGCTAATATCTTCTTCTTATAGAATTTTATTGGCAACATTGCCTGGTGTTAGAGATGGCATTTTGCCACTGGTATATGCACTTATAAAAAAAAATGACAACATTAATATGATGATAAATTTTACAAAGAAAAAAAAATACCATTGGCATTTTTCTCTCACTGCCAAGAGGTATATGCTTGTTTTTGGTAGTGTGTGTGTCAAGTGTTAGCTTGTGTTGTATAGATAAATGATCGAAGATGGTTTTCTATTGTTTTTGTTGCAAATTGTAGCCCATGCAATCATAACATTCCAAAAGTAAGACTTTAGAGAGCTCTCTCCAAACTTGAGAGTCTTAATTATGAGACACAAAATCCCTAGACCCCAAAGTGGAGCCGGAAGGGTGCCACGTGGTAGTGGCCGAAGCGAAAGCCAAACGAGCATAACATGTTTGGACTAAAAGCTCCGACTTGAAAGGTCGAGAGCGGGAGTGGAACTCCCAACAAAGTGCTTAAGGAACAAGCACGAAGCAAGCAATAAGCGAGGCTCCAAAAAGGGACCCAACATGACCAACACATGACACGTGGAAGTGTCCGAGATGGACCCGAGTTGCAGTCCGAGATGGACCGAGACGGAGTCCGAGATGGAGTCCGAGGTGGAGTCCGAGGTGGAGTCCGAGATGGAGTCCGAGGTGGAGTCCGAGATGGAGTCTAAGATGGACCAAGATGGAGTTCGAGATGGACTCGAGATGGAGTCCGAGATGGACCCGAGATGGAGTCTGAGATGGACCCGAGATGGAGTCCAAAGTCAAAACCGAGACCGAGACCGAGACCGGGACCGAAACCGAGACCGAGACCGGGACCGAGATCGAGACCGAGACCGGGACCGAGACCGAGACCGAGGCCGAGGCCGAGACTAAGCCCAAGTCCAAGTCCAAGTCCGAGTCCGAGTCCAAGTTCGAGTCCGAGTTCAAGTCTGAGAGGGTGAAAGCCCAAAGCGTTTGTCTCCCAGACCCTGGGGGGTTTGGTGAGCTCCAAAAGTATAGTAAGGGGGAGGACTGCAGTGGAGCCAGTTTGGCCAGGAAAGGTTAGTTTGGCCCAGGAAGGCTAGACCCAGTGTTGGGTGATGAATTGACCACTGGGAAGTCCAAGACTAGAGTGAATACGGACCGACAAGCAAGGTAGCTTGGTGAAGTGTTCAAGAGCCAACTCTAGTTCCCCCGGGAGATTGACTGGCCAATGCTCCCAGTCCAAGTGTGGGTGGCACTACCTACTTGGATACCAAGTGTGGCTCAATGGAACCTCGCTCTAAGCCCATGGCTAGAGCATGTAAATGCGGAAGGTGGGGAGAGTACCCACGGGGCTCGCGTAAGCCCACGGTGTTCCGAAATGTTGTCCCGAAGTCCCAAATGGGTGTAAGGAGGAGGAGCAGTCCTCTAGTGTAGTGACTACGGATACAGTCACATGGTGAGGAAGTCCCAGAGGATAATGGGACTTAGTGGCCGGGCCTGCGAGCCATGATCTAGTGGCAGTGTTGGTGAACATGGCCATGGATGAAAAAGGGACTTGGTAAGAACTGACAAAGGGATGTTGGGGAAGGCTATTCCCCATGGTTATGGGCATTCTAAGGATGCTAAAGAGTGGATCTGGGATGACCACTCATGGACGGACGGCCCAGTCTTGGAGAGACAGGATTGTGATGTAAGTGGTATTGGACCACTAATGTGGCAAAGGTGAATGGGCATGGCCTTAGTGTAACAAGCCGATATGTCAGTGGTACCTTTGGGTGTCGGTCTTGGGACTGGACACGTCGAGCACTTGGACCAAGTGCAAAAGTTGAGTGGCATGGATGCCATTCTCGGGACTAGCAAGTCCCAAGTCCTGAATTAGACTTAAGGAGGTTGTGAATGAGACTCCTCCAAGTGGTTAGAGGCGTGGTTAAGTGATTAAAGTAGAATGGAAAATTTAATCGCTTACATTAACATGCACTGATGTTCTTTGCATCTTGCAAGACTGCTTCACAAAGGCACCAAGTAGTGTAAATTGATTGACCAGTAGGTTGTGTGGAGGATGTTGGAGCATGTCATAAATACCATATTGTGCCATCTCTAAAATAAAAGTATTTATCCAATAAGTGCCTCCCCATTCCAAGCACTCCAATATATATATAATCTTTGTAATCTTCATGCAAGGTTCCCTAAGCTATGTTCATAGTATGCAATTAAAATAGTGATACACTTAGAGCACAGCATTATTGTTAATGGCTAAAGTACTCCATCCTTGGAAGAGTTTCCATGAGGGGATCTACTACGTTTTTTGCCACTTTGGGGTGCTAGAGACTGGAGGTTGTTTGTTGCATGTTGTTGAACATAACAAGTGATAGAGTCTGCATAGAGATATTTTAGCTATGAAAAACTTCAAAGAAATAAACATTATTGATGGCTCATGTGGCAATACACAAGCTACCACCTTTTGATAGCAATCTATCATTGGATCTATAGAAGATGTTAAAGAGCCTGTCAAGAGAGTGCAGTGTTGAAAGCTTCCAGAAAATCTACTTACTAAGCATTGTCTAGACACTAATATGCCAAATGTATTGAGTTGTGACTAGGAAAAACAACTAAAGAGTGAGCATTGTAAATAGGAAACACAAAAAGCTAACCACTCACATGCATCCCTTTGGGAGTTAGAATTGATTATATTGGTGTGTGTTCAATGATGTTGTGTGGTTTTACAGAAGATGGTCCAAGAGTATATGAGCCGATGCATGTGTTAGCACTCAGTCAAGGGATTTGAACTGTGATAAGTTGCATATATTATTATTGTTATTGCTACTATTATTGCTTGCATTGATTATGTTGAACAGGTGTGAAAGAAGAGCTCCAGCTAGAAGAAGGATGGGAATGAAATATAAACAATCTCTATGATCATTATTTTGTGCTAAGGCACAACAAAAATAAAGCATTACCCACATTTGAAAGATCCTTTTTTTGGGTTTCCCCTTTTCTTGTCATTTTCACCCCACATGCTTGGAACAAAAAAAAAAATCAATGAAAATATGGTTTGCATGGGACTAAGATCACTTAGCCTTACCATGTTGTGTGGAGATAGTGAGAGAACATAAAATTGGGGCAAAAATGGCTTCCTCTAAATTATAACCTCATAAGAATTTTAAAATTAAATTAGACTGAAATTAACTGTTCTTAATTAAAATAGAATAAAAAGTTAATAAGAGATTATTATAATTAAAATAAGATAAGAGTCTCCCAAGATTAAAATTGTATTAGTATCACTATACTATAAACCCTTATATCCTTAATAAAGAGATCCAGGTGTTATTATATAGTTGAAATAAAGTTAAATCATACTTTAATTTATATATTTTTGGCCCTTTTATTTGTATTTGCTAGTTTTGGTGGTATTTGTTTAGCCTTGCAAAGCTAGATATATGTTGGTATGCATTTGGCTTAGCAAAGTTAAAACATGCTTAGAGATTAAAGAACTTGATTATGAGCTTGGATAAATGTCTTGCTTTTGTGGATAGTACTTCCTTCAATGGGCTTTTATATAGGAGTGATCTATTAACTAAAGAGATATTGGTCTATATAGAGTTGGTGAAGCACAACTCTAGTAGTGAAGATATGATTCACTTCTTGGTTAAAGATATGAAGCTTATTTATTAAAAGCAAGAGGTATATATCCACCTCTGAATCCTATACAAGTAGCTTTGTGTGAGTTTTATAGGGTCATATATAACTAAAAAACTTCACGAATTTGACATCAGATAAAACAGTATTTTGCTATTCAACAGCTTGAATAATGTATAATTCCCATAATTCCCATGTAGTACCTTTACATGGCAATATTAGTGCAAACATGATGAAATACCTCTAATAGTGGTATTCTATTGTATATACCCCTCCAATTTACATCAACAAACCTCATATATTTGTATAATGTTGGCTTTTAAATTTGTAAATAAGATGTCAAGTAATCCATTGTTTTGTCCATTTATCCTTTCTTGCTCGTCCATGAGACCTAACAAAATTCTCAAGCAAAAAAATGTCATTATTTATAATAAAAAATTGACAATAGAAACTTCCTCATGTTTATTACACTTGACTGTATATATTATATGTCAAAACCTCCTTATAAATCTTGTCATCAAAAGAAAATATAACCATCTAGCTGTTTCAATTGTGAATCACTTTTGTTATTGCTTTTATACTAACTGCACCATGGCAACCTATCCAACGAGAGGCAGTCCTCACCTCAAAAATGACAGGTGGGATGTGCAAAATATGACCATTGAAACCATCACATTGGGTGCCCATCGGATGTCCATAATAGCAACATAACTATGGTGGCCGAATGAATGTCACCACGTGGCGGACGCAATATTGTGCAGTACGGACTTTTTCACGCTACATCGGTTTGCGAATAACACGCCAGGCCGAAACAGCATACTAACAGCTATTCATCCTCATCCTAATGGGCTCTTATCTCGCTGTTCACACCTCAATAGTTTAAGAGATGGCCTCAATAGAGGTTCTCCAGAGTGAATGATAATGGCCGCGCCTTCTATCTATCGTCTCCAAATTCTGGAGCAGCTCCTCGCCTGCAAGAGCATCTACTTGCCTCAAATCCGCTGCTCGCTACCATTGCAGTGCCACCCAGACTACGCCTCCGTCTCCAGACAGGCGAACGATTGGGCCTTTCGCTTCCTCAAGATCAATGCCACCAATGCCGCTGCAGAGAAGAAATGCTTCACCCAGTGGAGGACGCCACTCTACGGCACCTTCGTTGTGCCTTGGGGCGACTCCAGGCACGCTCTAGCGGCCGCCAAGTACACCTGGCTCATCACCATTCTCGACGATGCTGTCGACGAGGAGCCTTCGCAGCGGGACGAGATCCTGGAAGCTTACATGAGCCTTGCCTCCGGTCAAAGATCCATCGCCCAAGTTCCCAACAAGCCCGTGCTCGTCGCCCAAGCCGAGCTCGTCCCAGATCTGCGGAAGCTCATGTCGCCGCTCCTCTTCCAGCGGCTGCTCGTCTCGTACAGGAAATTTGTTGGCTGCTACTCGGCCAAAGTCGACGAAGAGGAGTTCACGAAAGAGTCTTACGCTGTGCATCGCCGGGAGGACTTCATTGTCAAGCCGATGCTTAACTTCACGCAGATGTGCCTGGGAGTCGAGCTGAGAGACAAGGATCTCGAAAGCGAGGAGTACCTGCGGGCGATAGATGCCATGTTTGATCATATGTGGCTGGTGAACGACATCTTTTCATTCCCAAAGGAGCTGAGGAAGAAAACTTTCAAGAACATAATTTTTCTCTTGCTCTTCACGGACCACACAGTTCGCTCTGTTCAGCAGGCAGTCGATAAGGCGAACGCCATGATTCAGGAAAAAGAACAAGAATTCATGTATTACCTCGAGATCCTGACGAGGAAAGCGATGGAATCTGGCAACCACGACTTTCTGGCGTACCTTAGGGCGATTCCGGCATTCATCCCTGGAAATCTACGTTGGCACTACCTCACAGCTCGGTACCACGGTGTTGATAATCCATTTCTAACAGGAGAGCCATTCAGTGGGACTTGGTTGTTTCATGATACGCAGACTATCATACTCCCCGAGTACAAACCAACTCATCCCCATCTGCAAGTCTGAATGAAAAGGCCATGAAAAATAAAACATAAAGCTTCCTGTTAAGATGCAGAGCAAGCAAAAGAGTTTCGACTACTAGCAAAGCTCACAAAAAGCTACCCGACTCTCATAACCAAATAACACAGAGCCAGGAACTAAGCAGATCCGTGATAAACTCTACCAGAAACCAACCCGCCCAAACACGAAAAACTTGATATTTTCAAAAGCCTCAATCTGGTCATTTTGAATATTGATGAATATTTCCAAGAAGAAAAGTATGAAATGAAGAATCCACGCTATCTTTTGTAGGGGCTGGCATTCTTTTACAAAACTTGTATCCCCCGTATATGCATCTATCATTTTGCTCGAGATCTTATTGATCTTTCGCGGGTTTGTCGAAGCTGCTGGAGCGGCCGCCCAGGTACTCATTGGGGTCCTCGCTGTGGATCAAATCGATGCTGTTTTGCTCCGCACTCGATTGCGACGCGACGTCGTCGTCCACGCCCATCATCGCCAGCGCCAGATGCTTCCTCACCTCGTTGCTCTGGTCCTTGAATTCGCCCAGGTACTCGTCCGTGAAGTCGTATCGCCCCGAAGGAATGCTGCTATCTTCTCCACACAGCAATCTCAGCACCTGCGACGATCCAAGCCTTGAATCAAGATGACCGAGGAAGAAGAAAAGAAGGAAACTTTACCCGCGCCATCCGAGGCCTGTACTGTGGTGACTGTCTCAAGCAAAACGTTGCCGCCACAACCATGTTCCTCAGCTGGTTCTCGTCAAAGTTTCCTTCCAGTCGCGGATCAACCAGTTTCTCGATGCCTCCACAATCGAGATGTGGTCTTGCCTGAAAATTTGGATTTGGAATGATCGAAGAAGAAGAAAGAATATAGAAGTGGTGTTTTTGCTTACCCAAGCGACCAAGTTTTCGTCGCCTTTGGGCTTGGACATATCGATCGGTGGCCGTCCCGTGACGAGCTCGAGCAAAACCACGCCAAACGAGTAAACGTCCGTCTTGTCGCTCACTCTCCCAAACATGAAGTACTCGGGAGCAAGATAGCTACAAAACAAGCCAAGAAAATCAGGAACTTTAGTGTTGGTTCTCCTCCATACCCGAGAGTTCCAACAACATCGCTACAAGTTATGTGCGTCGTCGAGGTCGGAGCCCATTTAGCCAGTCCAAAGTCCGAAATCTATCCAAGCAAATCAAACAAAATCTCTCCAGCACGAATCCTTTCAGTACCTGTGGCTTGCAGTTTTTCCTGAGGAGGATGTTTGAAGACTTCACATCCCTGTGGACAACGGGCCTGGCACAAGTGTCGTGGAGGTAAACAAACGCTTCCGCCGCACCAACAGCAATCTTATGTCTCTGTGACCAGCTTAGCGATGGTTTGTCTTTGCCAACTAAAACAAAAAAAAAAAGAGAAATGAGATCCATCCAAAGTTCCTAGAGCACACCCAAAATCTCAACTTTAGCTTACCATGGAGATTTTCTTCCAGGTTTCCTTCCGCGGCAAAGTCGTAGACGAGAATGTGGGTGTCTCCCTCGACGCAGTAGCCGATCAATCCCACAATATTGGGATGATTGAGCGTGCTGAGGATTTCCACTTCGGTGAGAAGCTCCTCGTCCGCCTCGGTTGCTCCCTGATTCAAGCACTTCACAGCCACGACATGGCCACCAGAAAGAGTTCCTCGGTAAACTTTGCTGCAGCCTCCTTTCCCGACCAAGTTATCTGGAAAGATCGACAGTTGATTGTCAGCTGAAACCACCAAAATGTGATGAGCTTACTCGGAGAAAAGCTTGACGTAGCCTCTTGGAGCTCCTCAAACGTGAAGCAAGCGCAAGCTTTGTCCTTGCAGACGCGACTGATCTTTTGTGAAAACGAGACTTGGCCGGAAGGTTGGATTGATGCGGCCAGGCTCCGGGGATTATTATCCTCGCTGCTGCTCAATGTGTTTACTTCCTTCACAGGGCTGCCGCGATGCTTTGCGTGTGGCGAGCCTTTCAAGCGAGGGAGAGAGCTCTCGTGTCGAAGCTGGTCGGGCATTGCTGAGGACGCGAGCATTCGAACCATGTTTCCACCCTGCTTGTCGAAGGCCTCCTTGAGCCTGTCCGGCAGCTGGAGAGCCCATTTTACTACAGAAATACTTCGTGAAGGTGTGACTTTTTCCAGAGATTTTTCCAAAGAGAGACTACGGTTCATGAGAGGCCAACCTGCGTGTTGGTGTTCTTGGCAATGAAGAGATATGTCACCTTGGAGCAAGAAAAAAACCAAAAGTTTTTAAGAAGAAGAACTTCGACTTGAAAGAGATGGAGAACTCACTCTTGGATTGTCCATAGGGTTTGATGGTGTGCACAGTAGCCGGCCCCTCTTTCTTCGCTACAAAATCGATTATAGTCACTCTGGCTAAAGAACTTTTTGGCCATAGCTAGCTAGGAAATAAAGTTTTACCTGGAGCACTTAGCAAGCCTTCCTTTCCAAGCAACACTTGGCCATGATCCACAATGATCATCAAGCAGCTGGAAGGCAGCCTCTTGGTGCAGTACTTCACTAGCGACTCGGAGCATCTGTGCAAAGAAAGGAAAAACTAAGAAACATTCCACCAAGATCGAACATCATAGCATACCCTTTGCTGGACTTCCCGAGGATCAAAACGGATGCTTTCTCAAGCTTGGCAGACTCGACCAAAGCCTTTTGCAGCGAAGCTCCAGACACCACTTTGATATCCAAGCGGACCTAAGTCAACAAAAAACCTCACATTTTGTGTTTCTCGTTGCGAGCTCAATGCTATCGTCATACCTGTTTGAGGTTACAAATGCTTTGATAAACTCCCAGCACGGACTCGAATGTGCTGTCGAGTCGCTGCTTGATCGATGAATCCAGGATATCATCTGTTAGAAGAACCGAAAAAAATCGCTCTTTTAATGAGGAAAATGACACAGAACGATCTAAACAGAGGTCTACCATACAAGAACAAACAAGAGAAAAGAAAGGGAGGAGCGAATTAGAAGATCATCGTACCTGTGTCGGGGAAGGCTCGAACGACGTGAACAGCAACGATCTGGTCCCCGGGTTGAGCGAGCTTCGCAACGATCCACGTGAGCATCTCACGGCACTCGGAGCGTAGCTTGACGCCGACGACAATTCGCGAGGGACGGGAAGAGGGAGACCTCGGCGATGGCAGGGAGTTTTCCACACGCCTCTCGCTCGCCTCCATCGCTGCGGAGCTTGGCTTGAGCTGCATTCGCCTTCTTCCCACCATCGGGAAGAAGGAAGAGAAAGAAAAGGATTCACCCCTCTTCTTTGCGTTTTCCTGCTTGGAATCACATGCAAAGAAGCTCAGATCTCTTCTTGGGCAGCTGCTCCTCGATCATATCACACGACCACCATGCCCAATTTCGCGAATTCCCCACGCCAAAACGCTTTCTTGCTCGCCAAAACGCTCATGATCGCTACAGCCTCGGTGTGTCTCTTACTCTTAACGCCCTCTTTGCCCTCATCGAGTTCTTTCCCTCGTTCTTGGTGATCAATCCTTTCCAAAATCTACCCCAATTCCAGACAAACCGCGCACTCCCCCTGATGTTGCCACACGATCCACCCGAATCGACGAAACCGACCCGCGGATTTATGTGGGAAGAAATTTGGCGAGCCAACCACGAAATTGACACCCCGGCCCGCGCTGCTCGCTCGCTCTTCAACCTCGCAGCTCCTCCATCGCTATCAGGGATCAGTGATTGCAAATAGTCGCGCTTAAAAAGAAAACCAAGACTCTTCCTAGTCAATCGATCGCTCGCTCTCGCGCTCTCGAGGATCGCTGCTCTTCGCTCGCTTCTCCAGGAGAGGACAGTGAATGCAAAGCCCTCCCTACCTTCCTTCCCAACCAACTTGAAAGAGCTTGAATGCGCTGCTCACTTTCTTTACCTTTCTTTTCTTTGCCTCTCAATCTCTTTCCTTTGCATGCGTCATACGCAAACTCGATTTTTTTCTTCGTTATTCTTCTACACCACCACCATTTGGATGGAATTCCGGTCAAAAGTCCTTGGTCATAAGTAGTCACACAGGCTCAGTTACCCAGCCCACCTTAGGTTGCATTGGCTTAAAGGAGCGGCCACAAAACAACCACTAAAGTCCATACATGGTTGGTAATAATCGCTTTTCACTTTGCCTTTCTTAACATTCCAAAAGGGGTAGATTTGGAATTTACCATCTTTGGTAGAGACACGCCAGCCTTCCGGTATGCCAGCTGGAGGTATATGTGGCGCCACTTAAGCTGCCGACGTGGCAGGCTAGGGCATACGAGGGTGCGAAAGATTATGGATGTGAGCTCGCTGGGAGCGGCGAGGCAGCTGATCCGGCGCGGCGACGATCGTCTCCCGCGGCATTTCGGGCAGGGATTGAGGGGGAAGGTGATTGTGCGCGCTGGGGGCGAAGGAGGGAATCAGGGTTTTGCGGGAGCTGCGGTGCAGCAAATGGCGGGGTCTGGAGGATCGAGGGATGGGATCGTGATTGTGGATCATGGCTCGCGCCGGGCGGAATCGAATTCGATGCTGGGTAAGGCGCTCTTCATCTCTTTGCCGCGCTTTTATGGAAATTTCGCGAGCGCATTGTAGAGGAGTTTGTGAATATGTACAAGAGGAAGACCGGGCATGAGATCGTGCAAGCTGCTCACATGGTATGATTTTTCTTGTCTAGCTACTGAGGGGGAACATTTCTTTGTTCTTGCAGGAACTTGCAGCTCCATCGATCGAGGATGCGTTTGATCGCTGCGTGGAGCTAGGAGCGCAGAGGGTCATCGTAAGTCCATACTTTCTCTTCCCAGGAAGACACTGGAACAAAGTAAGAAACACTTTTTGGTGGAAAAAGGTCCATTCTCTCACGATCAACAGGACATTCCAGCACTAGCAGCAGCGGCGTCCGCAAAGCATCCCGGAATTCGATATCTCGTGACTGCTCCCATTGGCCTTCACGAACTCATGGTGGTAAGCTTCCAAAAGCAAGCTCTTTTCTTTCTTTTCTTTCCTTGGCCCTTGGTACTGATACTCCTAGCGATTGAATCAATGCTTGTGACAGGATGTTTTGGAGGACCGAATGAAATACTGCGTGAGCCGTGCCGAGGGACGAGCCGACGAATGCGACATGTGTGTTGGAACTGGACGATGTCGTGAGATCGCCGTGGTCCAGCGAAAACAAGAGCAAAACCACCAAGTCAGTGTATTCTATTTTGTTTCCATCGTGCCTTGAAAGCATTCTCTTTCTTTCGATCAGATTGGACTGGAAAGCTCCATCTCTCCGAATGCATCATAAAATACCAGGTACGCTCTCTCAAGTCTTCTCATTCGCGATTCCTTTCTTAACAAGCAAGAAATTTTTTTTCAAAGTTCCAAGAGCCCGTGGAATGAAATAAACTGGGCAATATTTCATAAATCCATTGTCGTCTAGTCCGGTCAGGATACCTGGCTTTCACCCAGGCGACCCGGGTTCAAATCCCGGCAATGGAATTGTTTTGTCCATGCAATTTTAGGGTTAACGTTTCTGTTGGAATCGAACTCGAGACCTCTGAGTTTTAGGGTTTGTTTAATACATGTTTTTTTTCCCCGGTCAACCAAGGGTGACGATCAAACCATGTCGCCGTACGGAGGACGTCGGGAAAGACCACGCTTTCCGTACGCACGTGCGCCACCCGCGTCGCCATACCGCGTGAAAAAATGTAGCATCTGGCGGCCGGTATTAAACCACGTGGTCGCATCCCAGCCGTCCAGTCTCCTTGCTTCCGGGTAGGAACGAAGAACGTCCCCAGTGTGTAAGTAGCAGCATCCCTGATACTCTTCTTTTGCACGCGCTTTGGATCTTCGGCGCCTTCGTTTCCTTTGGATTGGCAGCGCCACCAATCGAATCGGCGGCGCCTCCTCCCGGGATCCTGGATGAACAGGGGGTGGATCGCAGTCCACTGCCGCTGTGTGGAAGAGGTAGGGCGGCCGCCACTGTCACGGATCCCAGGTTAGCTGCGGCATTGCGGGGAAGCTCGGAATCTAGGAGGTTTTTGGGGGTTTTCAGGCTGCGATGTCGAGGGAGAAGCGGCCTTTGGATTCGGCGCGCGATGGATTGCCTAATGAGAAGCGACAGCGGCCAGCGCTTGCGAGGTGAGCTTCCATTCTCTTTGTTCTAGGGTCTCTCGGACATGGTTCTTCACTCCTAGCTTAAAATTGTCGTTTTGATTTGTGTAAATTTTTTCTTTGGAAGACCACTGATGGTGGATTTTTTTGATGGTAAATTCAGCGTCATTGTTGAGGCTCTTAAGATGGACAGTCTCCAGAAATTGTGCTCAACCTTGGAACCTCTCCTTCGTCGAGTTGTGAGTAAAAATTGTTTTTTTCCTTCTTTTTTCTTCAAAGGTCTCACTTTTCGATCGCACAGGTGGGAGAAGAGGTCGAGCGTGCTTTGGCGAAGCTAGCACCTTCTATGAAAGGTGGACTAACGTAAGTCTCATTTTCTTCTTTTTTCTGTAATTATATCTTGCGATTAAATCTTTCTCTCTCTTCGTTTCAGCTACAAATCATCGCCGAAACGCATCCAGGGTGCCGATACTAGAGCGTTGCGCCTGCAGTTTCGAAACAAGCTAGCGCTGCCGCTTTTCACTGGCAGTAAAGTCGAAGGGGAGCAAGGCTCTGCGATTCACGTCGTCCTACAGGATGCCAACACAGGGCAGGTTGTAACTACTGGCGCTGAAGCAGGAGCAAAACTTGATATTGTTGTGCTGGAAGGGGACTTCTCGGCTGACGACGAAGAAGACTGGAGTATGGAAGATTTTGACACATACGTTGTCCGAGAACGTGAAGGGAAGCGGCCCCTTCTTACAGGAGATTTGAGTGTCACACTCAAAGAAGGCGTAGGTACACTTGGAGAGCTTACTTTCACTGACAACTCTAGCTGGATCAGGAGCAGGAAGTTCAGGCTCGGTGTACGCGTCTCTCCTGGTTCTTTCGAAGGACCGCGCATCCGAGAGGGCAAGACCGATTCTTTTTCCGTCAAAGACCACCGTGGAGAACGTAAGAAGTCCCCACTCCTCGCAGATTTTCTTGCTTACCTGTTTATATATTTGCGCAGTTTACAAAAAACACTATCCTCCCGCTTTGGGCGATGATGTGTGGAGGCTTGACAAGATTGGAAAGGACGGGGCATTCCACAAGAGGCTCAACAAAGCTGGAATATTTTCTGTGGAGGACTTTCTGCGTCTGGTGGTGATGGACCCGCAGAAACTACGAAACGTAAGTAATGAGTTTTTTTCTCTCTCTTTCTCTCTCTTTCTTTCAGCTCATGTAGTTGGTCTGGCGCAGATTCTTGGAAGTGGCATGTCAAATAAGATGTGGGAAGGAACAGTGGAGCATGCTAAAACGTGCGTCCTCAGCGGAAAGCTGTATGTCTATTATGCCGACGAGAAGCAAAATATCGGTGTCATTTTCAACAACATCTTTCAGCTAATGGGACTTATGGCCGGTGGGCAGTATCTTTCTGTGGACTCCCTGTCCGATGCCGAAAAGGTAACACGTTAATTTAATTTAGTTGTCTAGTAACACGCTGGCGGCTCTATTAATCCAGGTATACGTCGACAAGTTAGTAAAGGTGGCATACGAGAACTGGGAGAGTGTGGTCGAGTACGATGGTGAGGCACTGATTGGTTCTATGCCGCATTCTCTCCGTGGCATCGACGCACATACGGAAGAGCCAGCCAAAGGAAACCGCGGAAGCAGTACGTTGCAGCAGCAGCAGGGGTTTCCCGGCAGTCAGGAGTTCGGCCTTGTTCCAAGAGGGACAGCGTTGACAAATGGTACGCTTAGGAGCTAGCTTTTCAAGTGTTTTCACTGACGCAGCCTTGAATCTGTCATTTAAAGCAGGGGGTAGTCAGCCAAGCTACGCTCCAGTCTCCAGCCCTGTGGAGAGCTACTCCTCCCAACAACAGCAGCACCAACAGCAGCAGCAGCAGCAGCAACAACAACAACATCAACAGCAGAGGAATCAAAACGCGATGAGCACCGGCCTGTCTCTCCAACAATCAATGCCTTCTGGCTCAGGACTGGCTTACTCGCCACAAGTAAATCCCAATCCCAGCTATCTGCAGCAGGCACCCACGGCCACAGCCGAGTGGCTCCACAGGCAGACGACTCAAAACGACGAGTTCTACTCGGAGGAAGAGATCCGTGCAAAGAGCCTCGAGCTCCTGGAGAGCGAGGACATGAACTTGCAGATGCAGCAGCTGCTGCGCATGTTCAACGTGGCCACAAACGATCAGGCCAGCAGCATGCCAAACATGAACTTGCAAGACTACTTCCCGGTGGAGAGCGTGCCGTCGTCGCCGGAGAAGAAAGGCAGCAAAGTCGGGTGGCTCAAGCTCAAGGCCGCGTTGCGGTGGGGAATATTTGTCCGCAAGAGGGCCGCTGCCAGAAGAAGAGCTCAGATTGAAGAGATCGAAGAGGAGTGAGCATTGAGCGCAAGAGAAATCTACCAGAGCGAGGGAATAACTGGTAGAGTGGAGAATGTAAATTACTGTGGCTCTTCTTTGTTGCTGTTGGCAGGCCGGATTACAACAAAAAAAAAAAGAGAAAACAACTTGTTTGCTACACCGGGGTGGCGAACTTGAGGAAGAACTGGTGCTCGAGTAACTTCTTCATCTGCTTCTCGGGCAGCCGAATCGCCAGATGCCGGTCTCGTCCGCCATCTCGAGTAGGAAGAAGAATGGCGGCTCCACTGCCCGGCTCGGCATCCAAGACGAAGGAGAAGTGTCGCGGCCTCCCCCATCCAAAGTCGAGCTCGTAGATCGGGAATGCCGTGAGGCTGTTGCTGTTGATCGCTCTCCCCGACCACCTTGGCAGCGGGAAGTTGTCGTCCACGAAGATCCCCGGCCCGGAGGTGGAGCTCCATCCAGTCGATGGCGGACTGGATGCGCTCCTGGGTGGCGGACTGGATATCGTCGCGGAGGAGCTTGGCGGCGTGGGAGATGTGGTTCTTGCGTATCTCGCCCACGGGAGCAGCCAGGCACGGGATGTGAGCGGAGCTGCCGCAGTAGTGGCTCGGGATCTCGGGGCTCCAGCGCTTGGGTCCTTTGGTGGAGAGCGCGTAGATGTAAGTCATGCTCTCCGAATCGTCCAGGTCTTTGACATCCGCGACGCACTTCCAGATCATGGCGGAGATGGCCTCGAACGAGCTCGGCGGCGGGGCGTCACGAGAGGAGAAGAATCTCCCGCGCTGGACCTCGGCAACGAGCTCGCGGACTCGATCGGGGGCGATGTGGAAGAGCCTCTGGCGGTCGGGGATGGCGTCGTGGGAGGATTTGGCCATGGCTTCCACCGTGCTTGCTGGCGGTGGGGCGACGACGTAGTCGCGGACGGGGAGATTGACCTGCGGAGGATCGCGGGGCTTGAGCACGCTGGAATCAAACGATGGAGCCACCGCCAGTGCGAGGCCCCGGTGGATCTCCCCCCACGCCCGGAGGAACGGGAAGGAGGAGGAGGCGTCGAGGATGTTCTCGCAGGTGAGCACTCCCACAGCAATCCCGCCACACTGGAACTTTGTCACCTGTGAACACACAATGCCAGTCAACGCTTACAGCCAGTCAACACTCTTTTAGTCAACAGAGTCAACGGAGCTACTTGCCTGGATTTTTAGCAGCGGCGCGTTGGCGGGATCCCTGACCCTGGGTTCCGGGTAGAGCTCGTGCTCGATGGGGCACTGCCGGGCGTCGCCCAAGGCTGTGTTAGCCATCGCGGCCACCACCATGACGCCCGCGTCGTTGCAGTGGAGCTCCTGGATCGTTGTTAGCCGCTCTCGCCGCCGCATTCTCCCCGCCAGAGGGTAGTATGGAACGAGCAACCGCGACAGAGACTCTCTCATGCTGCAAACCAGGCGCTGGAACTCCTCTTCGTCGTGGTTATCGATCCGAGGGCTCTTCTGTTCTTGATCTTCTTCTTCTTCTTCCTGGTCATCGTGCTGCTTGAGAGCTGAAGATCCCGGGGCGGAGAAGTAGAACACTTGTTTGATGTAGCGCTCAAACGAAAAGTAGCTCTGGAAGTTGGAGAGCGCGAGAACGCAGGGCTGCCGGGTCGGGATCTGGGGAACTACAGTCGACACGGACACTGACCTTACCGAGCTTATGGACGCTACCATGTCGAGCACTCGAAGTCAGTTCAAGACCTCGCCCACGAGCCCCTCGTGCTTTAGAACTAATCGACTATGTTTGCCCGGGCGACTGGCGATTTACGTTCACAAGGGTGGCGATTGAATTCTATGGTTGCAACCCTAGTTTTTTTCTTAAAAGGAGCGATGGGCTGGGGCTGGGGCTGCGCGGAGTTCTTGGCCAAGTCCCTGCTTGTATCGACGCTGGCGGCGGTGGTGATCAAAACTAGTTTCACCGGGCTGATCGAGGGACCCATCAACAGCATGATCACAGGGATGATCGAGGGACTGGTCACGGAGCTGGTCTATGGCGTGATCCGAGAGACGGATCACGCCTTCTCTGCGTTGAGGTCCCTTGCGAACTCTATCTGACGTGAAAAGGCTGATGGCAAGCATCCTTTGCGGTAGTACGTGTTATCTTCCACTGTTCCTGCGAACGAGAGAAACGAATGGCTCGACTTACATGCATTAGCTACTGTTGCTCAGATCCTCCTCTCCGAGTAGAAGTTGGAGGTGGGATTTGGACTACGGACACTAATCTTACCGAGCTTGTGGAAGCTACCATGTCTGTTTGATCCAATGCACTCGAAATGAGCGCACGACCTCGCCAGTGCTTCAGGATTATGTTGACCAAAGTTGACAATACTTCCAGACTTTTCGTTTATTGGGCTGGACTGCGATTAAGGAACGCCCTAGACCGAGAAGCATTCTTTGTCCATAGAGAAGGCACTTGATAGAAAGTGTAGAAGAAAAATCCAACGGTAGGCTTGAGGAGATCTTTTCAAGATCAAAATTCTTCTAGATTTTTTGACAAATGGTCATGGTTCCTAGTTTTCTTTCCTGGAAGGGAGGGAGCGGGCGGAGTTCTTTGCCAAGTCCGTGCTCTAGCGGCGCTGGTGATCAAAGTTAGTATCGACGGTCTGCTCACAGGGATGATCGAGGAACCGATCAACAGGATGATCACAGGGACTGTCTATGGCCCGATCTGGGCATGGTTTCCAGAGGCATGGTTCGCACTGTATGAAACGAAAATGAGATCCTTTTTACTTCGATCCAATTCTCTGATTCATCTTCAGGCTTGGCGACCGGTGCCAAGATCTGGAGCGCGGTTAGTTTGGATCGATTCTTATGCCTGGTTTCAATTATGTACATCATATTTCTCTTTATATAGAACTTTTCTCTGCCCACCGGCAGCGATGCTCACTGATGCGAGCCCAAGCTCTCGCTGCCATAGGCCTATAAAAATGTAACTATATGTCAAGCTGTTGCTTATGCCAATTCACAAAATGCCAAGTGCATAGTTGCAACAGACAAGATCCCAAGATCACTACAATCAAGCCATAACTGGCCAAAACCAAGATAATCACAAGACGAGGGCAAGATGAAGTCCATCACTTCTAGAGTGAGGAGTATGAAAATCCTTGACGAAAAGCTGGAACAATGGTTCTACATCGCACTACAATCCAGCGAAGGGAGCACTTGACGAACTACTGCAAAGAAGTGAACCCGGCATCAACGTGGAAATCTACAACCAGGCACGCCATCGCAAGATGGAAGCCCCAGATCAAGCTCGGACAATTCACGTACGAATCTGCCCGGTTTGCGCTGGAGGCATAATCCCGAATCAGAGGTGATAGTGGGCTTGGGCGATGCTGCTCGATTGATTCAAATGGCTTTCTCAGTCAACCGCAACACGTCCTCGTGATAGTCCACCCCAGCCGCAACACGTCCCAGCTTCAGAAGATTTCACAAGACAAAGCTCCAACTCTCAGCGCACCCTCCTAGCTCCTCGTCCTCGAGCACTTTCACGCTTCATGTGCCAGTAGTTGACCAATATGACCAATCCCTTAGGTTTTTCATCGAAACTTTAGCACACAGTAAAAAAGATATTTGGCTATACAAGAAATTCTTCTTGATCTTCTGACAAGGACCGTGGAGCGTGAACTCCAGGTGGACAGCGCAATCATGAATCCCTCCCCTTTGCCATGGTTGCTTGGGTAGGAGCCCTAGTTTTCTTTCTTGGAGGGGAGGAAGCGCGAGGGCGGAGCGATGGGCTGGGGCTGGGACGCGGCGAAGTTCTTGGCGAAGTCCCTGCTCGTATCGATGCTGGCGGGGATGGTGATCAAATTTAGTTTCGAGGGACCGGTCACCAGGATGATCGAGGGGCCGATCACCAGGATGATCGAGGGCCCGGTCGACAGGACGATCACAGGGATGATCGAGGGGCCGATCAACAGGATGATTACAGGGATAATCGAGGGGCCGATCAACAGGATGATCACAGGGACGATCCAGGGACCGGTCACGGAGCTGGTCTATGGCCCGATCCGAGAAACGGCGGCCCAGATCCTGTGGGCGTGGCTGCCAGCGGCGTGGTTCGCACAGATGTTTCCTCGCATCGCAAAGGTATGGAACGAAAATGTGATTCTTTTCCTTCATTCTTTGATCCAGGTGCCAAGATCTGGAGAGCCCGCCCCCACCGGCAACGATGCTCATCGATCCAAGCCCAAGCTCCTGCTGCCGGAGCTTGGCAAGGGAAAGGAGGTGCCATCCCGGACGAGCCAAGCCTTCATGAGGGTTCCGTGTTCCAGGATGTGCACCGCTCGTGCCGCCGAGTCCTCTCACTCTCCTTGACGATGGCCTCTGTCCTTTCTTTCCTCTCTCACGGACGGATCGACCCTAGTTTCTCTCCCTCTCGGATCGCATTCTTGTTTTGCTCGAGAATCCGAGATTCTTGTATCTACTCTGCTCCGATCGATGAAACGATCGTTGAAACGAATTTACTTGTTTTGCTCGAGAATCCGAGATTCTTGTATCTACTCTGCTCCGATCGATGAAACGAATTTACTTGTTTTGCTCGAGAATCCGAGATTCTTGTATCTACTCTGCTCCGATCGATGAAACGATCGTTGAAACGAATTTACTTGCTTTGCCTCGAATCTCCGAGAACCCTTCATTCCAAGGTGGCGAACTTGGCGAGGAGCTCACTTCGCAGCAACCTCTTCATTTCATCCTCGAGGAGCATGACCACAATGCGGCGCTCTCGCGTCCCTCCCTGGGCAGTGGGAAGAAACACCACCACCCCGTTGCCATACCACGGCTCCAGCACCAGCGAGAAGTGGGCGGGCCGCCCCCACCCAAAGTCAACGTCGTAGACGGGGAAGGTGACCAGGTCAACGGAGTAGACCGCCATCTCGGCCCTCATGTTGACCGCGATCTCCTTGCGCCCGGGGCCGCCGATTCCTTCCAGCTCCATCCAGTCAATGGTGGATTGGAATCGCTCGTGGGTGATGGCCCGGATGTCGTCGTGGACGAGGCGAGCGGCCAAGGAGATGTGCTTATTCTTGAGGTCGCGCGCCGGACACGGGAGGACGAGGGTCATGGCGGAGGTGCCGCAGTACTCGTCCGGGATTGGGGGATGCCGCCGGTTCTTGCCGGCCTTGGCGGAGCCCGAGTAGACGAATGTGGCGATGGCGGTGTCGACGAGATCCCGCGCCTCGGTGATGGATTTCCAGACGAGCGCCGCGGCGGCCTCGAAGGATGTCGGGAAGCTGCCGTAGGAGAACGGGCCGGATGCGATCTCGTGCCTGAGATGCGAGAGCTGGAGCTCGCTCATGTGGAATTCCCGGACGTGGTATTTGGGAGAGATATCCTCCCCGGACTTTCCAGTGTGATCCTGGGCCAGGGACGGTGCCACCGCGACGTAGTCCCGGATGGGCATCTTGATGCTGGGGGGATCTCGGGCCCTGAGGATGCTGGAGTCGAATGATGGCGGTGGATTCGGCGGTGGCAATCCCTGATGGATATCCGACCAGGCCTTGAAGAACGCAAAGATGGACGAGCCGTCGGTGACAATGTGGGTGGTGACGAGGCCGAGGGCGATCCCGCCACACCGGAACTTGGTGACCTGCAAACACGGTCAGAACAGGTCAACGTAAAGTCTCCGGACTTGCCTGGACTTTGAGCTGTGGGAAGTTCTCGTGATCCGTGATCTCGGTCTGTGCCTGGTTGAGCTCATGCTCGATTGAGCAGTGCTTCATGGAATCGCCCCAGTCGTGGAAGCTCGCATTGGCAAATGCCACCACAAATTCGACGCCTTGGTTGTTGCACTCGAGAACCGGGCGGTCGAGACCGGCGATCCGGGGCCTCCCCGCTATTGGGTAGTATGGAACGAGAACCTGAGACAAGGATACTTTTAAGCTCGTCACCAATCGATCGAAGGAGCCTGGTGACGAATCCACTGCTTCTGGGAAATAGTAGACTTGCTTGAGATAGTTCTCGGACAGGAGCTGGATCTGAGAGTTGCAAAGCCAGAGAGTACAAGGCTGGCGCGTTGGAATCGCTGGGACGATCGTGCAGACGGAGGCTATATGAACCACATTGGACATGATTGTTCTTCTAGCGCATGATTTGAAGAGAGTAGCCTAGAAACACACAAGAGGACTTGTCTGGTCTAAAAGTTCGCATGCATGTGTAACTTTTAATGCTATGGCAGGGAGAAGGTCGTAACTTCTTTTCATCAACTCACAGAACAAAAGGTTTGGTGGGCGGATGCGTTCGATAGGCTTTTGCAGATCTCTGGTGGTTTGTCACTTTTGTTACTTCAAGACAATATGGCGTGCACTAGAAAAAAAGGGTAGAAAAGACATTTAGAGGACACGTGTCGGTGTCTTATTGGTACATATAGAATAGTAGTATGAGAAAAACACAAGCATTGGATATTTCACGAACTGTATGCCAGGGATGGGGCTTCATGCCCATAGCAATGGCCGATGTCATGGGCAGAATTTCAAGCCATTCAAGAGTGATAATGTGCAATTTGGTTCTTTTGCCATGCCCAACAAGAACAAGAGGTGAGAATATAATGCTATGGAGAGGTTGTTATGGTGTTCTATAGAGAGGTTGCAATTTTGTTAGAAGACCAAGAGGCTATAACACGTTCACCCAGCTTGAAAGGATAGTCGTGGAGGTAATGGATGGGCTTCACTACCATTAGATTGCATCTAATGCCAGACAAATGCTTCTATATTGGGCATGGATAAAAGTAGAATTCTTAAGGTTTAGAGTGATAATAGAATCATGTGCTTTACCATGCTAAGCTATAAAGGAATGTTAAAGTATAACTATGAGTCACTCCACTTTTAGTTTATCAAGTACTATCACTTTCACCATTGCTTTCTTTTAAGGCTATAGTAGTATAGATGTTAAATCTTGGAGATTGCATTCCACTTAATAACAAAGGTATGTAAGCAATTAATAAGAACAACTTGAAAGATAATTGATCAGGTTCAAATATAAAAAGAAAAGGTCTATGAATAAAAGTGCATCCTTTTTTTTAATTGGTTAATAGTATTAAAATATTTAGGGTTAAATGTCCTTGAGTTTAAATAATATTAGGCTTCCGGAAAGGCTAATGTGAGACAGGCCCTAAAGTGGAGCCGAAAGGGTGGTAGTGGCCGAAGCGAAAGCCAAATGAGTGTAACATGCTTGGACTAAAAGCTCTGACTTGAAAGGTCGAGAGCAAGAGTGAAACTCCCAACGAAGTGTTCGAGGAACGAACACAAAGCAAGCAATAAGTGAGTCTCTAGAAAAGGGACACAAGAGGACCCAAGATGAAGTCCAAGATGGAGTCTGAGATGGACCCGAGATGGAATCCGAGATGGAGTCTGAGATGGACCCGAGATGGAGTTTGAGATGGACCCGAGATGGAGTCTGAGATGGACCCGAGATAGAGTCCGAGATGGACCCGAGATGAAGTCCGAGATGGAGTTCGAGAAGCGTAACACATTTGGACTAAAAGCTCTGACTTGAAAGGTCGAGAGCGGGAGTGGAACTCCCAACGAAGTGCTCGAAGAACGAGCACAAAGCAAGCAATAAGTGAGTCTCTAGAAAAGGGACATAAGAGGACTTGAGATGGAGTCCGAGATGGACTCCGAGATAGACCCGAGATGGACTCTGAGATGGACATGAGATGGAGTCTGAGATGGACCCGAGATGGAGTTTGAGATGGAGTCTAAGATGGAGTCTAAGATGGAGTCCAAGATAGACCCGAGATGGAGTTCAAGATGGACCCAAGATGGAGTCCGAGACGGAGCCTGAGATGGACCTGAGATGGAGCCCGAGATGGACCCGAGATGGAGTCTAAGATGGACCCGAGATGGAGTCTGAGATGGACCCGAGATGGAGTTCGAGATGGAGTCCGAGATGGACCCGAGATGGAGTATGAAATGGAGTCCGAGGTGGAACCGGGACCGAGACCGAGACCGAGTCCAAGTCCAAGTCCAAGTCCAAGTCCAAGACCGAGATTGAGACTGAGTCCGAGTTCGAGTTCGAGTCCAAGTCTGAATACTAATACAAGCAGTTGGGTGAAATCCCAAAGCAATCATCCCCCGGGGGGGGGGCTACATAGGGTTCCAAAAGTATAGTAGGGAGAGTGTGGGGGTGGAGTCTAGTGGAGCCAGTTTAGCCAAGAAAGGCCAATTTGGCCCAGGAAGGCTATACCCAATTGTTGGGTGATGAGTTGACCACTGGGAAGTCCAAAACTACAGTGAATACAGACTGACAAATGGGGTAGCTTAATGAAGTGTTCAAGAGTCAGCTCTAGTTCCTCCGGGAGATTGAATAATCGATGTTCCCAGTCCAAGCATGGGTGGCACTACCTACTTGGATACCTAGTGTGGCTCAACAAAACCTCACTCTAAGCCCATGGCTAAAGCACCCAAAGGCGGAAGGCGGGGAGAATACCCACAAGGCTCATGTAGGGCCACGGTGTTCCGAAATGTTGTCCCAAAGGACCAGACTGTGGAAAGGAAGAGGTGCAATCCTTTGGTCTAGTGACCAAAGATACAATCGTGTGGTGAGGAAGTCTCAGAGGATTATGAGACTTAGTGGTCAGGCTTGTGGGCCTTGATCCAATGGCAGTATTGGCAAACACGGCCATAGATAGGAAAGGACTTGGAGAGGACCAAAGAGGGATATTGGATTCCCCATGTCTGTGGGCATCTTAAGGATGCTAAAGAGTGGATATAGGATGATCACTCATGGATGGATGGCCCAATCTTTGAGAGACGGGACTGTGATACAGGTGGTGTTAAACCATTAGTGTGACCAAGGTGAAGGGGCATGGCCTTAGCGTAACGGATTAATATGTCAATGGTACCTTGGGGTGTTGGTCGTGGGATTAGACATGTGGAGCACTTGGATTAGGTGCAAAGGTTGAGTGGCATTGATGCCATTCTCGGGGCTAACAAGCCCCAAGTCCTAAATTGGACTTAGGGAGGTTGTGAATGAGACTCCTCTAATTAGTCAATGGTGTGGTTAAGTGATTAAAGTAGAATGGAAAATTTAGTCGCTTACAATTTGGTATCGAAGCTATTCCTTAGTCCGACTTTTATTGGTGGCTAAGTATATCACCACTTGTATTGGCATCAGAAGGTCCTAGGATTGAGCCTATCCTTGAGGAACAACATGTTAGGAGGACATGACTCCCCACTATAGTTTGTGTGTGAACTTATAGGCAATGTGGTGGATAGAAAAGGGCTAGTAAGGGAATGACTTTGGGATCTTGGGAATAATATAATAGTTTCCTCAGAGAGTTGAGGATGTGATCTAGATGAGTGTTTGACTCAGCAAACTAGTTAATCTAGTTGTGGTAAACAACTATAGTTGGGATCACGGGAAAAATAGAAATTCCAAAACAATAAAAGAGTCACAAACTTATCCTCATATAGTTGAGGTTGGTGCTTATGAATTTAAGACTAGAATTAATGACCGTGGGAGGTCAAATACGGAAAAGGACTC